CGGGTCTCGCCCCACGGTTTATCCGGGTCATTCCGTGTCCAGCATTCGGATCTGCTTGTTCGTGCTATTGAACGTTCCATGAATTTCCATGATGCGCATTGCTGGTCATTTTCACGCCTGCTGCGAATTTACGCTTCGCTTCATTTGCCGTGACTGGTTTTAGCTGCGTCAACGGGATTCGGCTTTGTTGCTTCAATGTTGGGCCATGTGTTGACACAGTGTATTCGCCCCTTATCCACTGGCTGCGCGACGATGATCCGTGATGATTTCCGTACGGTGAAAGTGATGCTAGAGCATGCTAGAACTGGGTTCACAAAACCACGCGGTCAGCATTGAAAAGAAGGCGCGTCGCACTTATGGCGACAAGGCACCACGCATAAGCTATCTTTGCATGGGGCAGACAGAAGCTACGAAGCGCACATGGGCCAAATCCAACGAAGGGGAAATGAGAAGATGCTGTGGGAAAAATACAGAAAGACACAACAAGGTTTCAACATTTTTCCGCTGACAAAACTTTTCGCGCAATGGTAGCACAGCATCCTGGCGAAAAATTCGCGATTTCGTTTGTCTTAGCACCTTGCATGATCCTGTATCGCTCCGTGTCGAGCTGGTCCGGGCTGGACGTTGGAATGAGTTCTTGCGTGAAGCTTCGGCCGCAGCCGCCGCTCCGCTGAGCCGACAGCGCGGCGACCCTGACGATGCGCGAGCACACCGAGCAGCCGCCTTCGTCCACCTTGGAAAGCTGCACACCGCCGCCCGCACCCTCACCGCTGAGCCCTTAACCCCGGGAACTAGCAATACCCTCGCCGAACTCCGCAACCGCGCGACCCCGAGCCTTATTTGAGGCTACGCTCCGCCACGCCGTTCACAACCCCTGCCCCCTTCCTCCACTTGCTTTCCTGCAATGCCCAGGGAGCGGCAGGCGCAGTTCTGCGGCCGGGCCTTCGGGTGCCACCAATGAGCACCTGCGCGCTTGTTGTAACGTCAAAAAGGATAGCAGCTTAATGCATGGCGCGGCCTTCCGGCTCGCACAAGCCGATGTTTCTTTCGTTGTCTTCGACGGTGTGGGACATCTTGTCGCTCTTCCCAAGCTTCATGGTTGTGTGTCAAGTTGGCAGTTGGCGATGTGCTGCGACGTCTCCTGGGCCGCGGCACAGTACTTCGCGCCATTTCGTGCCCGAGTTGCAAACATCGCACCTGCCACGGGTTGGGAATGGTTGCACCGAGGCCATCAACCGCTGCTCCGTGCTGCTTCTGCAGCCACCCCTGTGCCGTTGCGCTCTCAGTCGATGCGTGGGCGCGTTTGACCATGTGGCTAGGGAGCCATGCTGGATGCGTTGCTCGCGAACCGTGACCCCTGCCCCTCCCCTCCTCCCCCAGGCCCGGCAGTTTTACGCCAGCCTTGTGGTACGATGACGAGGGGCCGCTCACGACGTCCAGCAGGGAGAAGGTGGCGAACAAGGAGACCCTTGTAATGCCCGTTTTTTACGCACCAACCGAACGCCTCGCCTTGCATGACCCTTTACGTCTAGTTATGCAACTCGTGCGACTCCGAGCCCAGCGCGCTCCTGCCGCCCTGCGCCCTGCAGCGAGGCAGGGCTGGCGCAACTGGTGGGGTTTCTTGAGCGTGGCTTTGCAAGCCACACTTGCTGCCACGCTGCTCGGAGACTCGGAGCGCCGGGCCTAAAGAGTGGCGGCGAGGGCGTGGTAGAGCACCGGGCAAGGTGTAAACGGCTTCCTTTTTTCAACCCATATTGATTTTGCAGCTTATACGGCAGACTGCGCCGTCGCGCATGATGCCGCAGTTGCCAGGTGTTTTGCTGCGCTGCCTGAGCACAGTGACGCGTCCCTGCAAGCCGCTGGTTGTCGCCGCCGCCCAGCTGCCCCGATTCGGTGGACTTGGCCTTCGCCTGGCCTCCTCCGATAACCATGCCGCGCGCTCCCCCGGTCATTTTGTTCCTTATGATTCATCAGCGCCCGGGCGCTTGCTGCCGCCGCATCGCGGCTCCCCGCACAGCCTCTTTGCTCCATGCCTGCATCGACGCACCCGATCGGGTTCCCGTCCCCCCTCCCACTTCCCCCAACCGACCTGAGGACACCGCCAGGCCGCTTTCAACGGCTGGCAAATGCCCACCCGCTAACAATATGCCGTGGGGGTTAGTGACTCTCGGCCAGTTCACATATGTTCACATTACAGGGACTCATGTCTGTGAAAGTGGGGTGGTGGGGTTAGAAATCAGGACCGCTTTTGACATCATGTTACAGCTTCCTGCTCCGTAGCTTTTGCGAACTGCTGGCTGACATATGTTTCATGAAGGGCTGCAGGTGATAGGCAAACATAGGCGATAGATACCTTCCGAATTCGGCGGAGGATATCAGCAGCATTGCATTCCAGGGCTTTGCACTCCACATTATTATAGCATGCGCATCATTTAGCTATGCTAATGGGTTCTCGGAGCCAAACAGACATCAACCTAGTTTCTTAAAACCCAGGAACTGTTGCCAACGGTATCTGCTCGACAGTGGCTTGGGAAAGGCTGCCCGAAGTATCAGCCCTGGGCGGGGGCAGGCGGTGTGGCTCGTATGAGAGAAAATAATCCAGTCATTCCCCGGTTCAGATCCGGGGGATATAACTGCCCGAACTATCGGGCGCAGCGCCTACATGCGCCTACGATACCGTGTCAAAGCCGCCTTCCCACCAGGTTTTGCACTCTTTGCACGGTTGTTTTACGGGCGCGTCCAACGTCGGCAAGACGCGGGTCTACAACACCAGCGGAGCCCCAGCACCACACGGGGTCGTCGCATTCGGAGACGACGTGTGGCGCGGGACCGTGCCCCGCCAGACCGCGGGTTCACGGCGCTAGGAGTCCCGCTTGGACACCTCACCTATGTCTGCGCGGATTTTGCACCGCAGTTGCTGCACAGGGACCTTTGTCGCGGACACACCTGCGGTTGAATACCGTCAGAAACAAGGATGCTGTCAGACCGCATCGAACTTTCTGCCTTACGCAGAGATGCCTGCATCGAAATGTCGTTGGGGGGCGCTCAGCGCGGGAGTTTTCGTATTTTTTCGTGCATGCGCTTTGCGGTTAGCTTGAAACACACATGCGTGCGTGCATCCATGCTTGCATAATTGCATACACATTGTACGCACCCACGCACACGCGCAGCTTCGAGCGCACACCTTCACGTGTTGCGGTCGCACCCGGCCACTCGCATGTATGCAACAGCTTTGCAAAGTAACTATGGCGGGGCCAACGACACGGGTGTTTAGCGGCGCATCAACAGACCGAAAAAAAAAAAGGTCTGTCATGCTCATGTTGTTTGTTCCCCTGCCGACCGACAAGGCTTGTTCGACAACGCCATTTATGTTTCTGGGTTTTCTGGTGGACTCAAGGGACAATCATTGTAGCACGCACCGCCCCTTCGGGGGCGGTTGCGGAGGCCATGGCGTCGGCATGGCATTGCCCCCAGCATGGTTCGATGTAACGAAACTACGAAGTCCGGTTGTTCGGTTTGCCGAGCCCCAGGCCACATGCCACGTCGCGATGGCAGGCAGCACTCGCGCTTTCGAAAGCTTGCCGTGTCGGTACATTTCGTTTGCTGTTGCGGGCAGGCCGCGGCAGCTTTGCTTGCAGCCATTCTAGCTGTCGAAGGTGCCGTTCTTGAGGAATTTGGTTGGAAGATGTATCACTGACATCACGTGCGTTCATGTAGGAAATCTTGAGGCCCGATATGCGCACAGGCAGTTGCCATGCGCGCAGAGGTGCATGTTAAAAAAAAGCGCTTGTTCGGTTGCCGTGACAATGCCTGGTTCGAGGCAAAGGTGGCGGGCGGCAATCCCGTCCGCAAGATCATAGACATGCTGGAGACTATGCAAAACAAGGATCCCGGGTACGGCGGCTGTTGTTGTCCACAACGCATCCGTTCTCGCACGTCGGCTTGGGAGGTGCAAGCAGAGGGTGACGAAAAATCCAAAATATTTGACAAGTGGACAACTCATCGTTGGAGTGAGCGGTGGGCACAGCATCGGCCTTTGTCCATCCCGCTTTGTCGAGGTACCAGTGCTATTGCAAATTCACGTTTGCAAAGCTGACATCGCAAATCGATCAGGCCGAACATCTGTCAATACTTGTTTTCGTTTCCAAGTTTGGATTTCAATGAGGTGACGACCGGCCTTCCTCAATTGCAATCACGCGTGCGCGAAGCCAGCCGCTCCAGATGTCCCACGTGTGTATTCTAGCCATTTCACTCGTGTCTGGGGTTTGCACACGGGTTGTCGAACTTGCTGTGTATGCCGGATCCGAGGTGGCAGCTTTACAAGCAACGTTGGAATCCGAAGTTGCCCAGCACAAGAAGGAGCTTCGTGCTACCATGATATTTAGGGCTCATTGCCATGATGGAACGAACACGCAGGATAGAGATGAAACCAGAAGCACAATGGCGAGTGCATCAGCGTTGCGAAAGAAGGCTTTGGAGATGCTTGTTTGCAGTGCCTTTCAACGTTGACGTTGCCAGCTGCTTGCAAGGAGTCCGAAGCATATTTGAAGGACTTGTTCAGACTCGACCCCGTTGCTTCGTTTTTGTGCTCGCGAGCTTTTGCATTCCAGAGGTTTGTATGCATTGCTCTGCGGGGCTATGTTGCAGGATTCGACGAGCGAGAAGCAAACGTTGGATTCAGTGAAAGATGCCGCGGCCCGAATAGCAAGTTGAGGGATGCCTCTGCCTCGTCTCATGTTCTTGTCATGCCGAATCTTCTGCCATGTTATGCCCAAGGCCATCGAAGCCATCGAAAAGGGCCACGGCAGCGCCTTCTTGCAGACGCAGCGTGCCACATTCTTGCGAAGGCTTGTGCCGTAGCTGTTATCATGTCAATTATTACACGGTCCAATTGAACAAAGATGTGCCCAGGTTGTCCGTCTCGGCCGTCTGTGGCCCACATTTTGATTTTGTTCAGTTCATGCCGGGCTTCCGCTCAAATAAGTGAGCCTCTCAAGGACATGACGACCGAACACCGCGAAGCGCTATCTGCTTTTCTAGCATCAGAGTCGTCAGGCAGAGCTTTTCGTTTCTGATGCGCACCTTGTGCTGCAACTCTAGATGCTCACGCATGTGAAGGCGAACAGCCTGCCACCGGCCGCATTCTGGGCATGCTGAAGCAGATGAAGGAGGAGACGTGCAGGTGACTCGAGTCAGATGGGAACCAGGTGCAGCACTTTGGAGGAGATTTCCGACAACGTCAAAGAGCTGTTGAACCTGGAGAAGCAGCGCATTTCGGAGTCCGGTGCTCAATGCCTAAAGAGCTCAGATCAAACTTCAAGGCACCTGCTCCCGACGAGGCACGAGAGCTTGCTAGACGCTAAACAAAAAGAGGGTGAGGCAGCAATGAAAGCCATGGAAGAGAAGCCCTGCCCTCGGTTCAGATTTGCCTGATGAGTTGTGTCCGACCATGTCCGACCAGCAAGGATGCTTCGACTTGGTGAGCTGAAGGTAGAAATGCAAATGGTAAAGGATGATATCAAGGACTTGGAGCAGCATCTTGGTGTCGTCGTGGGTGCAGTCTCAAAGGGCAAGTGCTTGCAGCTGACAGGACAAAGCAAACAGTGAAAAAGTCTTTCCCCAAGCTTCAAAGAGCTCAAAGAGTGAAGCGCACCAGTGCCGAAATAGGAGGGTTGTTGACGCTGGTCACAGCAACTGAGGAGAGCTCTTCCTTTATCGCCGATCTCAAGAAAACATGCGACGAGAAGCAGCAGGTCCATGGACTAGAGACTTGTCGAGGCAATTGTGACACACCTCACCAAGTTCATGGTCAGGCATGGAATGCTTATCAATCAGCTCAAGCAGAGGAGATTCGGGCCTTGTCAGAAACTGTGGCTTGGACGAGCTGACAGACGGAGCTCGCGGGGCACATGTTATTATCCGCTGACATGAGGTGGAGTTCTTAGAGAAGAACGATGTGCAAGGTGCGGTACGTGGAGCGATGAAAAACCCCTCGTTGATGCAGAAATCTCCGCAAAAGCCCCAGCGGACAGCAGCAAGTTTCCAAAAGGGAGTTATTAAAAGTCTCTGAGGATGTACACATTACCAACATCTTCCCGATTCATGTCCGAATCCAAGGAGGCTCTGCACTTGCTTCCGGCATGACATAGACAGCCGAGACATGCTGCAAGTGTGCTCAGCCCAGTCCTGAATTCCAAAAGGAGCGAGGGAATTGGCTCAGCCTCCTTCAGATGAGCGCTGGCAGCTCAGATGAGGCGCGAACTAGAACACTGTGTGGTGGCTGTTGGGAGCTTGCCCCCCCTGTGAACGGTGCAGTCTCCGAGACTGGTTCGAATGGGTGCGAAGGCCCTGAAGGCTACAAGTGCTCTGCACGACCGCGAGGCTTCCCAGAGCCAGAAGTCTGACTACGCCGAGATGGCTTTGCGCAACTTGGACTGACTTGCATCGCTTTTTCTCGGAACTTGAATCGGTTGCTGCAGGTGGGAATCGGCCAGGGTTGGAAGTCGCGATCCAAAAACTGGATGAGCTCCTGCATGCAACCGGCATCTCTCGCTTTCATGTTGGCCAATTGAAGTCCTTCCCTGCTTGTGGAAGGCAAACTCAAAGCCACAGAGTGCTAAGGAGCTCCATGATGTTCTGGACACGGAACAAGCATCGGATCAGGAAAGGGTTGACTTGTGGACGTGTCTCATGACCGTGTTTGAAGCCTCACTTCTGTGACCCAGGAGCGACAGCAGTACTGCCAAAAAAAACTGGGGAAGGCCTTGGCCAGACCTCGAAGCAACATGAACAGCCATGCTTGAGGGCTGCGCACGCAATTCAAGTCCTACCATTCGTACGAGAAATCTGGCACCTTCGCCTTCAAGATTGTTTTCTCCCTGAGGCGGCTAGGGTCAAGCAGAACAAGGAACGAGACATTGAGGAGCTGAGACACACGTAGAACGCATGATCACTAAGGGCTTGGTGATTTCGAATGTTTACACCGCATTTTGATTGGTTTCTGCAGAGCAGGATGCGACGACCATCATGGCAACTTACGAGGACTGGAAACAAGACAGATGCGTTGCACCGATTGCCACGGCTACTTCCATTTATCCTGCACCAGAACGAGCTCAGCACAGTGGTTGACGAGATGAGAGACATGGAGAAAGCCATGAAGGACTCGAGTAGCGCGGTTGATGGGTGTCGGCATGCCAGGGCCTGTTGAAGAAATGCACGCTTGCCAGATATTGCGCAATTCCTTGGCATGGCGGTTGGTGCCGCAGCAACTGGACATGTCGCATTTTTTTGTTCGAACATGGCATCCAAGGTGCATTTTGCAGCGGAAACACATGAGAAAACATGGTGAACCTAGTCGAGTCAAAAAGCAGACCTTCTCGGCATTTTCCGTAATCCACACACACTTTCTTTGGACCACCTCGCAGCCCGTGACTCTGTAAAGACATTATAACATGGCTCACGGCACTTGTGCGCCCCACCCTCCTGAGCTTTGGCTGACGGCCGTCCGCCAGGAGCTGGATGCACAGGTTGCAGAAGTTACAGACACTCGCAAGAGCGAGCATGAAGCTTTTGCATTCAACTCAGCATCAGCATGAGTGAGGGAAGACATGGAGCATCACGTTTTGAACATGGGCTTGAACATTGGCATCGCTGGTGCCCAGGTCAAATCCCGTGAGACCAACAATGCAGTGTTGCTGGCATACTTCCGTAGATGGGCAAAGCGGCATAGGCAGCTCCAAAGCTTAAGCTGTGCTCGCAGTCTGTTGCAGGCTCTAGAGCTGTTGGATGTGGCAGCGCAGCGCATCGAGCGGCCGCTGTCCCGGATCCTGGACCACGTGTTTGTTTGTTTGTTTGTGCAATGTGTGCAACGTCGCACGACCATGTTGCACTGGAGGTTCTATTCGGGCAGCCTCCTTCAGGCCAGAAATTGGGAGGTGCTGTGCAGTTTAAAGCCACGTGTGCCAACGCGAGGTTAAGGCGACAGAGGGGTGATAAAAGGTTGCCGTGTAGCAGTTGGCCGAGTGTGGCCGAGGAGCGACACAGCGCGCACCTTGCCTCGGCTTCGAGGCGCCGTTTGCCGCCGCTTGCTCCACGTTTCTTTAAATGTTTCCATCGAGAGTCGACATAAGTCGACTTGGTGGACAGGCAGGGAAGAACAAAGGATGCACCGGATGCCTGGAGCTTGCGCGCGAATTTGCATGAATCGCAGGCAATCCTTGTTTCGATGTGATTTCAGGTTGACCTGACGTACCGCAAGCAAGGCACCGGTGCTGTTGTTGCTACAAATCGCCCCCGTGCCCTCATCGTTCTCGTCCCTTGCTCCCCTCGCACAGGGGGCGCCTCGACTCAGATCATAATGCTCTTCAGCAGGATCAAGGAACGCGTCGGGGGCTTTCGGGGTTTGTACGAGTGTTGAGCTGCCACAGGAAGACCTCCAGAAGCAGATGGCGACCTTGGAGTCCGAAGACAAAGTGGCGAAGCACTGAGCTTGAAGCTGGGCCCTGGGCCCTGGGCAGGCGAAGGGCGGAGGGCGGCGGAGGACGCGCGTGTGCCGCGTGCTGTTGCTTTGTACTGAGGGACAGACGGAGTACGAAAACATTGTGGAGAATTCTAACAAAAAGAAAACGATCGGCAACGAGAACCTCGGGAGCAAGCAGGTTCCCGGCGAAGAAGCAACTGCTCCTGTTCCAATGGTTTGTGAGAGCCAGGCGGCCAAGGCTGAGCTACAGGTCACACTCCAACGGAGCACTTACCTTACCTTGAAGACTTGAAGCCCTGGTAAAGTCTGCTGTATTCTGCCCGCCGTGCTCCCAGGTCGCGATGCGTTGCGATCCGACAAACAGGCAATGGATGTCAGTGCAAGTTCCAAGAAAGTTTGGCTTTGCGCAGAAATTCTCAGAGTGTTCGAGGCACTGCTGGCCGTGGAGGAGGACCTCTTTCCATAGATTGCCGAGGTGAGCGACTCTTTGACTCTACGTATCTTTCCGTGTGCAGGAGATCCAGGGCTTGCATGCGGAATGCGACTTTTTATTAAAGATCCTGGCCCAGCGAATTCCAGCAGCGTGAGCTGTGGATGTAAAATCTTGACGGCCGAGTCTTGATTTTGTCTCAGGAACTTCGATATGCGGCAAGATGTGTGCATCCCGGGAAACCATGTCAGCATGTCAGCACCAGAGCCTTAACAGGGGTTGAGGTTGGTGTTTTGTTGTTGTGCTCCTGCTACCAGGCCAGGCAGTCTGAGCATCGCTCCCTGACTCGAGCAAAAGCTACCCTTGAGTCAGCACTTGAGAAGTGAGCACGAATGGATTCGCTTCAACGTGCAAAAAAGAGCGGTACTGCAGTGCTTGCTCAAGCATCTCGTTCTCGGTGTTGAATCCTATCTGCTGCTTTCATGCAGATTGGAGATTGACCGTCGTGAACCATTTGTGACGATGTGCTGTTTGCAGCATCGATTGGAAGAAGTGGCATGCCTCCACCGGTATGTCTGCTGTTACTAGAGTTACTAGAGCTTATTGGAAGGGCAGGGGCTGCATGCCCATCATCAAGATGTGCGCTGATAAAGCGGAACTTGTTTCACGACGTTTGTCCAAATGTCAGGTTGTAAGGCATGTTAGAGCCTGTGCCTGCGGCGGCTACGGCCAGTGCGGCCAGTGAGACTGTTCGGCCGTCGAGGGCCGAGAGGCCTTACTTTCGTCTCCGTGGCTTTGGTTTTCATAAACTGCGATCGTGTCACCGTGCTCAGTGCAGGCTGAAAACAGTCTTTGCAGCACCGCTGCTCGGCGGCTGTGAAGCTGTGTTTTTAACCTTGTACTCAAAATATCGAAATCTTTCCATTCTGCAGTGACTTTGGGTGACGTCGCGGCGTGACAGCCTGCACAACAAGTTGCAGTGAGACTTCAGGTCACAGGAGAATCTGGACAAGGATTCCCCACGTACCAATGCAGCATGCCCTAAGCTCCGTGGAGCAGCATCGGACTTGATAGCGTGGTCCGTGCAGCCATACAATGCTTCTCGGCTGCAGGCCGCTGTGCCGCATTTGGCTTTGTCCGAGCTTGCGAAAAAACAGGTGGATATTGAGCTTCCTGACAGTGATGACGAAGATAATAACAAGAATGGAGAAGCTGACAAGGCACGCCAAAGCTCCTTCTGCTGTCAGTTCTTGTACCGGTAGCAACATTGCGTAGCAGCCCGAATTCCAGAAAGGAGCTTGTCGCAAAGCTGACGATGAGAGAGAAGCTACCTGGCCTGCATGTTTGCGATTCGTTTGTAGATACAGCTCCGATTGCAGGAAGCAGGCGTGTCTTGCACGAGCTGTCTACCCGTGGCCACAGAACCGGATTGCTGTTGTCGGTGTCGTTGGGTTTTGTCAAACTCGAAACAGGTTCATGTTGTCACTGCAAGGTTGCGGAAGCTTGTCACGAGCAACGGATTCGAGCCGCTTGTACCAAACATGTATCATTGATTTTCTTCTTGTGACTCTTGTGACCCTGTGCATCGACCTGTCGAGCTGTTTCCTCGATGGTTTGGGGGAGCTCTTGGGTCTTGAAGTATTGGGTTCAGCCAGTTGTCGTGCATCCGGCCTGTCGATGGCAAGTGCGCCTGGAATCCAGGGCCATGAGCTGTACATTGATCAGCATCAACTTGATATTCCTCGGTGTCCAAGCCGATTGAAGCGGCCTCAGCTGAGAGCTCATGAGGGGGCCACCGGATAATTAGCAGCCGTTTGATGTCAGGCCAGAAGGGCTGCAGCAGCTTTACTGTGGCCATGATCGGTACCTTGGACGTGCCCTGACTGCACACTGTATATCATCTACTCAAAGGCATCATGAAGCATCTTTTCAGGAGAGCTTCACGGCACTCTTCCTCGTCGAGCCCTGTCTAAACAGTCCGGCAGAACTCTACTGGCCCCGAACTTGCATGCAGAAGCTTGCGCATGGCGCCGTTCGTGAGTGCTTTTCTGGTGAACTCGTAGACCAGGAGTGGTGTCTTTGCGTTGCTGCCCATGGGACAAGCTATTTCTCAACTGCCTCCAACTGGCTGGATACATTTATTGTCTGGGTGGTTGGTGTATTCCTGCTTTGGATTGCACCGCTGATTTTTGGTGCCGAGGGCTTGGCTGCTTTCCAGGCACGATTTTTTCGATCCTGAGCCTGCCAATCCCGCACAGATGTCAGGATGTGGTTTGATTCGACTGATGGGAAGGGTGCAGGCAAAGCTGAGTATCCAAACGGTGAAAAATGATGTTGACTGCTTTGCCAAGTCTACTCGAAATAGAAGAAAGGGATCACACGAGGCGGTCGAGTTGGCGCATTCTTTGTTGTAAAACGGTTCATGAAGTGTAACTCTGCACATCGGCTGGCGTCTCGATGGCGCGATCTGCTCGGGGCAGATGGTCGGTCAGGGCGCCAGCGGACGACCCGAGCCGGGCCGGTCGGACCAGGCAGGTGGCACACGAGCGATGATCCGTCGCTACGTTCTCGTGGCGTGCGCATTCGCTGGACTTGTCGACCAGGAGCAGGAGGTGAATAGCAGATGGATGCACAGCCAGGATGTCATCAGCATTCCCGACACATGCCCAAAGCTTTTGAATGCAATTGGGCTGTTGCCCAAGCTCTATGTGTGGCTCGCTTGTGACATCCTGAGATGGTCCATGTCGAACCTGTCCCAGGGCTAGCCTGCAGTCATTTACAATCTACAGTCCGCAGAACTGAAAGCCACAGATGAACCCATGAAATTAGCAATGTTTCCCACCTGTTGTACTCTGTACTCTTTGCGTCCTCTACAGCTGAACACTTGCAGCCTTGCATGATATGTCAGCCGGGCTTTCATTGTGTGTTGCCTTGGTCAGGCAATTCGAGCAATTAGAGGCATGCGGTCCTTGCGGTCTTTCCGAGTGCTACGACACTTCCAAAGCTTCCGGATGTTGTTGACGGGCTTCTTGGGAACAATCTTCACCCTGGCGGCAGCTTGGCGGCAGCTTGGGCACGAGACTGCGAGACAGCGTAGCGGCTGCGTAGCGGCGTAGCATTTGGGGTCTCGGCCTGCTCTTCCGTGGCCCGGGCAGCACCGCAGCACCACTCACCTCAGGCGTGCATCTTGATGATCTTCCTAACTGACTTGACCTTCGGCATCATCTCCGTGGACATCATAGGCGGCTTCTTGAGCAGAATACTAAGTGAATGAACAATCTTACCTCGAGTTCTGAGAGGACGAGATTCCAGATGGGGAACGGCTCCTGAAGGAACGGCGGCCTGGTACTTCCAGAACGGCTTGATTCAAGCCAGCCTAACCATGTCCCGCTTCATTTTCAGTGACTCGGTTGTATTCAAGACCGCCGTTGACATTCCAACCAAGATGCAGGCGTGCCAAAGATTTATTAAGGCGACAATGCAGTCAGCCTCATTGAAGAGCTGCAAGAGACACAGCCTTTCATCTGGATCTACTGCTTTGCTTTCATGGCAATCGCCGCTTATGTCATCCTCAATCTGGTTACAGCCACGATCTGCCACTTGACCTGATGCCAAAGTGTTGTGCCTATACGGGTAGTGTCGCAATCGAGGTGACAAGGCGCAGGCAATCGTGAACGAGAATGAAGCCGAGAGGTTGTTTGAGATGCGAATGGAGGAGAAGAGGAACATGAAAGACCTCAAGCAACGGGGCCACAGGAGTGATATCTTGCGATGCCTCGGCCTCGGCGGGTTACGAAGCGTATGTCTTCCGTGCCGCTTCATCCAAGGCACATTTTCGAGGTTCTGGATGAGGATGGGAGCGGGCTGGTAACGACGGAGGAGTTTGATGCCGCTTTCGAAATCCAGCGGTGCAGGTGGGAACCCTACCGCTGTTGACAAGATGTTCTGCAGCAATGCACGTTCTTAGGGACAAATTCTTCTTGCTGGGTTTCGAAGAGGAAGTTCCGGCCTTAGACATATCGCAACTTGTTTATGTCGGAAGTATCTAGAATGCGGAAGTCAGAGAACGGATTCTCAGGAGATGAAGCAACTTTTCCGGGTGTTGGACGACGATGGGCAAGGTGAGCTGAGTGTCTCCGATACTTGGATTGCATCGACCCGTTGGCAAAGACTTGGTGATATTCATCATTCATCGGTGCCGCTCAGGAGTTCCTCAAGGGAATGGCACAGGTGCAAGGACCGGAATGAGCGGGATTGTAACTGCGACAGGCCGAGAAATATGGTATGTACGTTTACTTGCAAAAGAAGCCGGCCAGTGGTTCACCATCTGTGAGCACGCAAGCTTCCTTGACGTGCTGCAAGAGCAGGAGATGCTGATTCGAAAGCGATGCTGGTGGCCAGCAAAACCATGGAGAAGGTGCTTGTGCAACATCTGAAGCAAGCGTGTCAAACCGGTTCTCCGTTTCTGTTCAGGTCAAGGTCGCCTATGAGAAGGTCATGGGCGCAAAAGGAGGGACGGCGTCCATGGAGCTCCGGCAAACAATCCGCGCTGAGCCGACGTTGGACGAGCAGCTGACTTCCTTGGCATCGTGTCGTGTTTATGAATCAGCCAGGTGTGCACGAGGAGGCTTGACCGTACCCGTACGACATCAGCCAAGGAAAGCTATGCCATGGCCCGACTCGACAGGATTGATGAATTGCTTCGGTCTTTCCATGCCAAAGCTGATTCTTTCGAGAGAAAGCTGCGCACAATTGAAAGTTTACCTCCGCCTCCTGCATCCTCGAGCCCGGATGGCAAAGCCAAATCTGGGGCGGCTCAACCAGCTGATGATGAAATCATGATGGAGACGGACGATCTGTGAAACCGCATCGCCAGATACAGTGACAAGGTGAATGCCGTAGTGTGTGGTTCACATGCTGGCACATGCTCGCAGTTTGGCCCTGTTCTGTGATTCCATTACTGGCTCAAGCGGCTGTAGCCCAGTCCAGGCTTTGTCATGGCCGAGGTTTCGTGGGAGCTAGATCGAGCTCTGAAGCACCCAACCCGCGTGATTTCAGGATGATGCGACTGCAGCCAGAGCAAAGGCACAAACGTCAGCTGCAGGGTCTCAGTGTCACAAGGATAGCCATGAACCCTTATCATCCAGCGCAGGATGCAGCCAACCTAGATGCTGCCGCAAAGGCAGCTTTAGCTATGACCTCGGACTCAGAAAGCCTGGCGCCTCAGAGGAAGCACGTTCATACTTTTTGAAAGGCGTCGCTCCAGGGCGTAAGCTTCTCGAGCAAAGGTCGGGCTTCCAGCACCTGCAAGCGGAACGCGAGATGCATGTGGACTTGTGACCTGCCAGGTGAGCATAAAGGAGCCCAGCCAAGACCTGCTCCTCAGGCTCAGGCAGGGTCAGGTTCAGCATGCCAACGCCGGTACACACAATCGCCTCTAAGCAGGTCCAACAAGCAAGCGAAAAGCAGGACCGACTCTTCGTCTCGAAGGCAGTTCTCTGACTCTGGAGCATCAGGAAGTGGACAGGTTGACGACGTGACATGTCAGGTGCCCCAGTCGTTGGGCCAAGCCGAACTTCGGGCACACTTCGCGCAGCTGCCTGGCAGCTTGAGAACTTAGCAGGGGGTCGTGGCCTGGGCTTTGAGCCTTTGAGGATGCCCCTTGTTGTTGAGGTTGACGCACGGATGCTGTGCTTGCTGGCATGGCATTGAGACGACATTACCAACTACAAAGCGCAAGTGTTTTTGCCTTTAGATACGGTCCGTCTAGTGCATACTGTACCCTACGCCGCAGCTGGCGAAACACTTGGCATCAGGGCTGAGCCCGAAGAGCCCGTGAGTGATACGTTGTGTGGACAACTGCGCGTGCAGAGTCCTCGGGCCAGCCCGCAGTGTGCAATCTTGATCAGCTGCACACGCGCAGCTGCACAACAGCCGGTCAACTCATGCAAAAGTTTGACGCCCGCCAAGGCACAGGACAGTCCTGCGCGAACATCTGAACGAGTCCATGCAGCCTTGCTTGCTCTTGATGCTCTTGTTATGTGTATCAATTTAACAATCTTTTGCATTTTCATCTTTGCAACTTTTCTATGTTCACGACTGTCGCTATGTCTCCTGGAATTACTAGTTGCACTGTTACACTGTTTTGCTGACTTTCTCTTTTGCTTTGCGCAGTCTTGTTATCTTTGCTACCTCTGCTATGTGTAGAGACTGAGCCTGCCACTGCTGGGGGGGGGGGGGCGGGGGTCCGTGGATGACGTGCCTCCGACTCCGCACCTGGCTGTCCCTGATGAAGTAAGCATCGGAGAGCCAAAAATCCCACGTCTCTCACCCTTTGACCTTCAACTCGACACGCTGCAAGCGGAACGCCGAAACTTCAACATCACGGAATGCTGCAAGCTCCCGACACTGCACAACCCAAATTTGGGCGAGGCCTTCCTGAGGCTAATGTTGCTATGGACCTTTGGAGCAGGCTCTCTTTGTGCAGGGCTGCTGTCCTTGGTGTCTGATGGGTGATGTGCTGTTGGCGTTCGACTGGTTTGGGTCGTGCTGTTCGTGGGTGCTCGCCTTGTCTGCTTTGAGAAGCTGCACTGGGCCAGCAACTCTTTTTTTATGTAGGGTTTAGGTATGTTTAGGTTTTAAGAATGTACGGCACTTACCAGTCTGTGCACAAGGTTTCTAGGGCCTTTGCACCCTTGATCGTGGGGTGCAAAGGCAGTTCTTTTGCGTGCTTCACGAAAACACCCACAAGGTTTGGAGGGTCTAGGGCCGTTTCGGGTTTAGGGTTCCCGTTCGGGTTGGATTCACTCTTTCAGGTGTCAGCTCCGGTTCGGGAATCATCCGTTTCTGCTTTGGCTTTAGGTTGGTTTGGCTTTCCAGAGCATGGGATTCGCTTCCTTGGGGTTCGGGACATCCGGTTTGGGGTTGGGATTGGGTTCACTCCTGTCGGCTTCAGGTTTGGGTTTAGGGCTCTCGGCAGGCTTTATCCAGTCACACCTTCGGGAACACGGCTTTGGCTTCTGGTTTGCGGTTTCGGCCTTCTGCTTGCACCGCAGGTCTTTGCTTTGAAGTGGCGCCTCAGTGCCGCAATCTACGGCTTGTTGCCCTGTCTTGGGTTGGAAGCAGCATCCCAAGGCCAAGATCCACGATTTGTTTCCGGTGTTTTCGTCGGAAATGAAACCGTGAGCCAGGTCTTATGAGCATGATAAGGTCTTACAGTTTCCTAAATGCTGTCGTACAGTGCGGCTGGTGTTGGCTTTTCCAGCAGCAGTTATTGGTGGAGTAGCAGTGACAGCTATGGTACCGGTTATATCAGTAGTACTAGTCCAGTTTGCTCCTACAAGTGCAGCATTCGATCCACCATTCACAAGGCCAGTCTGCTGTCAGCAGTCGAAAACTGAGCTAAGGTTCGGTGACCTGACAGATGTCTACCTACCAGCTCCTCTGGGTGGTGGCCGCGGCCTTTGGAATTGTAGCAACTGAGGAGGTTTTGTGACAATAGGAATCGCGTTGCTTTGCAGGAGGCCACAAAGGAATTTGCTTTGTATCTTTCGCACATGCCTGAGGAGTCCTCGGCATCCAAGCATACCATGTACAGCTGACCTGCTCCGAGGCTGATGCTTCTGGCATCCAGAAAGCGATAGCACATGGAGCGCACGAAGTGCAAGGTAGCCTGCCATCAGGAAGATGAAAACGGTAGTGCGACTATGTATCGCCTTGCAGGTAGTCCAATATCGGTGGACATCGCGGCACCACGAGCGTTCACTGCTTGAAGCCGTAAGAGTAAGAGATTTTGCTGCCGGTGGTAGTCTTCTTCCAGAGAGCCGAGGCCACCGCCGTCCACGGTGACAGCTTCTGTGCAGAGCGGGTGCCGTGTCTTCTTGACGAAGGTACTCGGAGAGCGGTTTCATGAATTGTTCCCTCTGGCCTGCATTCCTCGAGTTGCTCGAGAGCCCGTCGTAAAGTCGTAAGCGATTCGTAAACCCATGAGTTTCTGTAAATCCGTATGCACTTGCTTGTATGTGCCTCTTCTTCTCTGTATGATGTTAGGCGTTCATCTTCGAGCTGCCAAGTTCCTACAGAGATATCTCTGGCAACTGCAGAGCACACATGCAAAAAGGTTAAGGGCCGAGTTCACATGCACAGGCATGTAAATACTCGCTCGAAAACCTGCGCGAGGTAGATGGGCGCGCTTCGAATTTTGGTAGTGGCCGAGTAATGATTAGTACCCTGGCTATTTAATGACCGGCCGCACGTAGACGGTAGCAGATGATGGCTTGATGCCAAGGGTGTCTTGGCCGTTGTGCTTGCAAGACGGACAGACTGACAGACTGAGCAGATGGCAGACCAAATGAGGATTTGGAGAGATATGCTTTGACATGCGCCACAGTGCCATAAGTGACGAGAAGTTTCAACGATGAGTCAAAAGCAAGGGCACGGCACGAAACGAGACGCACTCCCTGTGGAGACTACCACGAGCCATGGTCTTGACTCTGACGGCAGAGTTGGCGGTCCAACTGCCGGCCATGCTCGGCGAAGGTTCCATATGGGACAGCCGCGGCACAGCTGCACACGGCCGGAGGATTTCTAGTCGGAGTGTCTTGCCGGAAGCTTCCCTGCAGTTCGCCCAGACTGAGGCTCGCAGAGACTGCTCTGGTTGGATATCTACGGCGGCTTGATCGAACCTGTGCATGCTCTGCTATGCATCCTTCTTTTATGCATTGGGCAGCACCTGCAGTGTCAAGGTTGCAAGCTTTATCGCTTTGATCCAGTCTCGCAGCTCAACGAGGAGTTTGACCTGAGCGAGTCTTCTGCCTCCGTGAGTTCAGTCGTGCCATTATCTCGGGAGCTTGACCCAGCTGGAGATTCAGTCGCAATCACTCTGCGAGAGGGCTTTGCAGGGACCCAAGTTCGCAAAATGTTGCCCCACTCGAACGGACTGTGATATTCCTGTCCCTGCTGGTTCTATAACAAGCTAAGGCAATTTACAGCTTCCGCACGCGGAGCTTGGAGAGGCTAGGCAACGACCCACCTATGGGTGAGTTCGAGCGCTTCAACGACGGCAAAGTTGATCCGAGAGGTTGCTATTGGGCTGGGACTATTACCCGAGACAAGGACTTCAACATCTGCAAGGGTGCGACACTGTACTGCCGAGACATTGCTGGCAAAGTTTCGCCGATCCTGAGGGACTTGAGCATCTCAAACGGCTTGGTTTGGACGAAGGATGGAGGAACCATGTATTACATTGATACACCCTCAGCGCAAGTCGATGCCTTCGATTTTGACATGCAGACCGGGGCGATCTCCAACAGACGTACTGTCATAAAGGGCTTCGAATTCCACACAACTGGATTTCCGGATGGGATGCTCGGCCGAATCTTTGTTTGTCTTCTGCTGCGCTGAAACGGCATGGAAGAAAATTGAGATAGCATGTGGCATAATCATTGGTTCCTGTGCATTCGAGTGCGAGGTGCGCCATCGACCAACAGGATCGACTGTGGATAGCTCGCTTCAATGGTGGCTGCGTGGGTTGCTATGATCCACAATCTGGAAGCCTTCTGGCAGAAGTTCGCGTGCCGCCTGAGGCAGGCATGCAGGCTCGTGCTCTTGTTGGCCGATAAGTATGTCAGTAAACTAGGCTGCGACAGAGCAAAACTTGGCTGTTCTTCTGTATGCATGCACCAGGGCTTCACGGGGCAAGGCTTTGTGAAAAGAGTATGCTACCATCTAAGCTTAGAATTTGTTAGATTTGTTAGGCATTAAGTGGACCCTGGCCTGGCTTCAGGTGACATCTGTAGCCTTCGGTGGAAAGAGCTTGGACGATCTTTACATCACCACAGCCCGGGAAGGTTTCGACTCTGACGATGATAAGAGATTCCCACTAGCTGGCTCGTTGTTCGTGGTGCATAAGGCTCGCTGATGTAGGATGCTCAGGACAGTGGCAGTTGCATCACCACAGGGGGTGGCCCTGTCCAGGCACAGCTCGCAGAGATCGGCCCAGTTGCCGGCCAACCACCACACGAGTTGAAACTTTCGAAGCTGTAGCTTAGCATGGAAGGGTGACCACAGTCTCAGCGATTGAAAAATGCGGATGTGCCGGACGTGGCTGGCAGACGTGTCAGATGACAAAGTCGGAATCAGCTGCGTGGTAAGTGCAACTGCAGGTCACGGCGGACGTGACGCGAGCGGACCTCCAGGCAAGAGCTGCGCCGCGGCAAAACAGTCACTCGAGTCACCGGGGCATCATGGTTCTTGTCGTGACCTTCTCAGCACATCTGGCTGGAAGCCAGATGGTCAGCTTCTGATGCAAAGCATGCTAACAGCTAGAGCTGTAGCTAAGCTGCGCTAGACTTTGATTATGCCGAGTTGCAGAGAATCTGAACATGTCCGCGACTGTCCGATAAAACGAAAGAATGCAGATATTGTTCGGTTTACGACCTTCCGAAAGTTTCCCTTAGGTTTATCAGAAACTCTTGGAGAGGATGTCGCAAAGCCATGGAAATCCACGTTGTTGCAGTGGAGGCTCGCTCCCCACTGGGAAATTATGCAAGCACGCAGGCCTCAGGGCTTGCAATGTGGCCAGCAGCTGGGGCTCCGTTGATTGTCACGACCTGCAACATCAAGCCAGGCAGCATCGTAACGGTGGCTCTTTCAGGAGTGAAGGTCGGCGATCGACAAGTCTTCGAGGCTCAACTGATGGCCTCGCCCCGACTGCGCCAAGCATCTGAAGCCTTCCTGAGCTTGGAATCCAGAGGATGGCGTTGCAGCGATCCGGGCCCGAGCTTGGGTGCCGGACTGCATCTCCATCTACTGCGCCTTGCGGCAGACTGTCGGAAACCTTACCACGATGGACTGCCAAGCTGCTGGTCAGAGCCGCAAGAGAAATGGATCAGCCGAGACATTCAGTTGATTTTTGCACCTTTCGGTGCACGATCCGCCCAAGCTGCTAAGCCACTGCCTCTTTGGACGCTGGTCGCGCGAGGATCTAGGCAGCAGTCTGTGTGTTCTGTCTTGGTCCTTTGTCTCGAGTTGGCCTCTTCCCTTCTCAGTGTCATCGTTCATGAGCGATCTTATGGGGTTCATCAACACCGGCCAAAACAATGCAATGCTAGCTCGCATGCAACCTCTGCCGCGACGGCAAACTCGGGTTGCTTATGTACCAATGTTAGTACCAACGTATCACAAACGAAGCGTGCCCTTTTTCAATCCGGTTGGACAGTTGAATCCCTGAGACGCAGGAGCGCCGCTTTGTGACGGTTTTGCGGGTTTGCTTTGTCGTTTCTTCAGAGCCCATTTCCAGGTAAGTCGTCAGGTGATTGTCTTACGAGTGTAGAGTTTCGGCTGTCAGATCGGCTACCAACCGATTCCACCGGCGCTTTCGTGATGGGATTTGTTTATTATTCACGCTGGGGGCGGTGGATGCGGTTGTGCAGGTCGGAATAAATCCAATGCTTGGAGCCCGGTCTGCGTCTTGATATCTGAAAGACGAGTATGGGAACAGACGGGCAGGCTCACAGGTCGGGGCGGTTGTGATGGTAGATGGAGAAAGCTAAACGAAAATCTTGCGCAATGGGCACAGCCCGAAAGTGGCGTTTCATCTTCGCAACAGGGAGATCCAAGTCTCAGGATCTGCAACACCACGAAACGCTGCACAGCACAAGCAATCTCATAGGACTGCCGGCAGATCCACTAAGGAGGCGAATTAGAGCACATGCATTAAGCCAGTTTGCAGCCGGAAGCACTTCTGACACGCGACAGGTCACAGGTGCCCTAGATTTGAAAGGTCTGGGAAGCAAGTTGTGCGGTGCAGCCAAGGTATAGTTTGTAACACCTCGACGTCCCCCGGCCTCCTCCTGATGGATGCGACTGCAGAGAATTCTACAGGTGGTGCGGTTGCGTTGAAGATGGGAAGGAAGGCCGGGCTCTGCTGCTCTGCTCCCGGCACGCACAGATTTTTTCGCTTCTGACTTGTGGCCAGTGGTGGCTTCACTTAGACGAGGCAGAAGTGGTGGCAATCATGGCGCCCGCCCTTCGCAGCAGATCAGGTCAGGTTTTCATGAGAGAGGTAGCCTGGTCTTGCGGGCTTGGAGGCAAACCTTGCCTCGAAGTTGCATCATGTCGAACAGGCGATTCTGTGGCACTCAGCTTGGCCATTCCTCTCAGTGTGGTCCGGGAAACTCTGCTTGATGATCCTGCTTGTGCGGTGCTTACATGACCACGAGGCCGAAGTGAAGCAAGGGCCAAGTCACAATGAAGCCTCAGGTCAAGCACAGCTGCGCGAAGGGGAGGCTGCTTCGTTGGCACCATTCGATCTGGCTCTGCTGCGTTCTTGGCCATCGGAGCAGGCTTGCGCTCAAATCATCTGGTATGTTTCATGAACAGATGTCTGTGTGGAGAGCTGCATGCCGAACTTTACAGGCCCGTGAGGGGGTGGCCTTGCTGTGGCTGGACTCTGGCAGCTGGGCTTCTGCACTGGTGTTGTCCGAAGACGGCCATCTTCTAACCTGTGCGCATTTGTTGACGGGCACCTCCTGGATGGAACCTTCGAAGGCATCTTCACGAAATGGATCACGTGGCAGTTGTTTGCAGACTTTAGTGCTGAAGTTCGGGGCTGGATCATCACTCCCGAAGACAGCTACAGTATCCAAATCAGTGCTTGCATTGCAATCTGGCCGCACAACACTCTAAGCCACAAGGCAAATGTTGACACACTCCGTAGCCAACGTCAATGTGCTATTCAAAAAGGGGATCTCGAGAATGGGGGGTGTCTTGGAGCACACAGGGCGATATAATAGCCGCAAAACGAGAGCGAAAGCACCTCCCCCATGCTGCTTGCGAAGTCGTTTGGAAGAGCTGTACGCATTGCAGATCCCAAAATAGCATACTGTATTTGATTGCCGGGTTCGCCTAGCTGATTTTAAAGCTGGTTTGCTCGAGTTCGAAACTGGCTTGACGTTTTCGGCTTGCACCATGAAGATCAGTTGTTGATGCAGACATGTCGTGAGGATGGTAGCCCGCCACGGCGCTCGGCGACAAACTTTCCGCGCTGTCATGGGCGCTGCTTCGTGCGTGTGAAGGCAGACACTAAGATGATGGTTGACACTTGATACGACGGCGCCGGTAAGGGGATATCAGCTTTCGTGCCTGTCGTGCTGAGGGCAGGACGGAGATGGCCAGCTTTGAAGCGGACGTGTTGCACGTTTTCGATGGTTTCCTGGATGCGGCGTTGCTAGTAGCGAAGCCGAGGAGGAGCTGCCGATACGTTTGGACCGATACCTCCCTTGTTTTCTGACGAAAACCAGTTTCTGAATAATAGCCTTCGCATCGCATGGTGAAGATCCGTTTAGTTGAGCCAAAGAGGAAGCACAAGAAGTAGAGAAACGGGAAGAACGACCGTCTCCCCAGAGCCTCCGTGAGCCTGAGCGTTTACAAAGACAAAGGGTGACGAGGGCGCGATGTTGATTCCCTGCGCACAGCATAACCTTTACTGTGGATACATAGCTCTGCCAAGCTGTGCTGCTCGCCACCTCAAACGGCTTCTCCGGCCTTGGGCATGCTGTGAGAGCTTCCTGCTCTTTGCTTTTGCTGTTGTGGTGTAGGAAGGAAGGGCGCGAAAACACGGCAGCAGCATGCAGCAGATCCGTAAGCTATGAACTCACGGGAGGTTGCAGCCCGTCGTCAAAAGTGTCGCAACGTCGCACCAGAGCAGAAACGCCTGGCGCGGCTGCCAGGGACGAGCCCACCTATGCCTTCAATCCGAGTTTGTGGAAGCGCCAGTGTGCGTCCATCGAGCAGGGCATCAAGGCACCATTGAGAATGCTTGCTCTTCATAGCTCGGCCTGAACGGCCAGGTTTGGGCTGTGGGACATGGGCTGTTTGGCCCGGGTTCTCCGTGGTATGGCCCGGCTGTGACCTGCGGCATGAACCTGAGATCTGTCCAGGGCTTCGTGCAGTTGTGTTTGCAGCCATTGTGGTCTCGTCTCGCATGTTTTGAGTCTCGACTTTGCAAAGTGGAGTGGCGAGATCATTGTTGCCTCTGTCTCCTCTCTCTGCCAAGGCCAGCTTTCCAAGGTCGTTTGGGGCAAAAGCGGCAGACTGGCTGTGTTGCAGAGCTCGGCAGCAGTCCATCGTGGGTGCAGCGGTGGTGCCCTTGTGGCTGCAGAGACCGGTGAGCTTCTTGCATCATTGTGGAGCGGCATGTACATGGAGCATGCGCGAGAAAAGCAGGGGCGTCCCCGTCCTTGTTCCGATGACGCTCAGGTTGCTTGGAATGGTCACTACCAATGCCAAGCAGCAGGAGCGGCACAGAAGCTGCATGATCAATGCTTCCATGTGATAGGTCTGCTGTTCGACACTGGCTGTTTGACGTGAACGATGGAAGGACGGCGCAGTGCTGCCGCACATTAACTTCATACTGCCCGTGAGCCTGTTGTCTCCTCTGTTCAGCTTCTTGGAGACAGCGAGTGAGCCGGAAGCTCTGCCCAAGCTGATCCAGGACTTCGGCTCAGGGCGGAAGGTGCTTCGCACACCGCGCGTTCATGCGAGTTCCCTTTTGTAGTGGCATAGGAGCTGGACGCAGCAGCCGCCGCTCCCGAAGAACGGGGGCTGTGGAGGTTGGAGCCGGAGCATCCGAATCTTCCAAGTCGAACCGAGGCAGCAAAAGATGTCTGTTTTCACGTGTCTTCGAAGCAGCTGCACAGCTACATTCGTCTGCTGCTTTGCCCTTGACTGCTGATATGGTTGCCTCGCGGTGGCCGAGGATTGCTGGCAAGGTGGCGGGCCAAGCCTTTGAAGTAGGTCGCCCATGCGAATACCATGTGTATTGCCTCGTTCTTCCAAACCGAGGAAGCAGCACGTGCTGGAGAGCTTGGATGAGCTTGAAAAGACTGCCAACGTAGAGGTGCAATGAGCAGTGCTGAACTGAGCATCAACCGCTTGAAACATTCTGGCATTGCAGGCGAAGGAGGAGAAAGAGCACACCCACCAGAGCAGATTATGACGATAATCACCCTGGTTGGCCACTGTTTCACCAGAAGCAGAAACGACCAGTGAAAAGCATTGCGTCTGCGGCACTGCCTCCAGCGCCTGCAGTGATACAGTAAGTCTGCCTGATGCACACGCCTTTGTCTAGTCAGTCGCCTTTGCTTCCGGCGGCACATTGAACTTCGTGCGCACGGTCAGGCGCACTTCTGCAGATTTGGCGAGCTGTCAGACTGCTATGTCAGACTCTGACGGTATGACTGGCCACGCCTTCTGGGTCACAAGCCAGCTTGCAGCTGAGGTCCCGCCTGGCAACAAGGGCATAGCCTTTGTCAGCTTCAAAGATCCCAGCACTGCCGGACACTTGTGAGGCGTGTTAGGGCTACTTGTAGGAGGCCGTGCAACTCAAGGCTTCTTCGGTTGTAGCCCACCAGCAGCACGAGGTGAAGTCGCACACTCAGGAGCTTCAGTTCCTTTGCTGCAAAATTCTGATTCCTCGCCGCTGCAGGCCTGGCCTTGTGCTGATTGCTGCCCCAGCATTCGACAGACCTCAGCTCTGAGCCTACCTCTTTCACCCGCGGCTTTCTAGTGGTCCATGGGTCCTTGCTGAGTCTTTGGCCCGGGACCGAGGCAGGGGTCCAAAGGAGGTGGGGGGATGTGGATGTGTGGATGGCAGTCTACTCTTCTGCTTTGCATCTCCTCCTCTTGAGTTCTGGCAGGAGGCAAGGGTGGCTTCGGCTGCGGTGCGCTGACAGGTTTGTTGTTGGAGCCTGGGGCCAAGAGCACCAAGATCCATTTGTTGCTTTCAAGGTGGCGGCTGCAATGCCTTCAACGGTGCCTGTGGTGGTTGCCAGTAGCTTAATTCAAGCGGAGATTCTCGCGAGGAGCAGCTCATCTTCGGATAGGATAGGAGGCAGTGATTGGCAGGACTGTTGGCATGCTTTCTCGCGCTTTCTCAACAGAAACCTTTGTCAATGCAAGCCCCCCTGATGTACCACCCACCTCCGTCCTTTTTTTGCCGAATGTCTGGGATCAGATTCTGCGGGTTTGAGTCGTCAGAAAAACCCAGTGCCTATTGGTGTAAGAGCTATTCGGGGTTTGAGCATGGCTCGGCTACTGCAATGTTTCAGTTTCCGCCACCTTTTAGAAGCCAAGGGTGAAATGTGGGCTGATTGCTATTCATGGCCGACCATGCTACCCTGCAAAGCCTATCTGGATCTTGTACTGTTGCATCTGATACGCTCTCTAGGTGACCTCGGCAGCTTCGCAGGCTTCGGAGGCAAGCATGAATCAGTATAGTCAATTAGATGTGGAGCAGCATTGTGATATGGTGGTGGCAGTGAGAAGGTGCTCCCTGCAGTGGATGCGGCTTTAGTTTGATGCTCAGTTTTTTGTTCCAGCCAGTGCCAGAGCACTTAGCCGCAGTTGCTGCAGGTGACTTTTCCATGATGCAGGGATTCCAGAATGGTTTCCAAGCCGGTGCAAACCAACAAAGCTTTGGAGCACCGGCCTTTGCACCGCAGGGAGGATTTGTCCCACAGGGCATGCCCGGTGGCTTTCCTGTTCAAGACGGCATGGCGTGGAGCTCAGCCTTCGATGTCACTGCGGTGCTTGAGACGCCTGAGATCGCCTCTCAGCTGCACCACATCGCCGCCATTAGCGCAGAGTAGTCTCCCACGGGCTGTAGCCATGGAGCCGGGCAACCTTGCACGAATCTGTCGTTGAAGAGCCCGGCTCTCGCATGTCCTTGCATGATGAAGGATGAGCCCTCAGAAACTTGGCCAGTACTGGTGCATGCAGTGCTTGCAGCAACTTCTCCTGCCGTCTGGAAAGGCAGCTGCAAACTCGGTGCTACAGAGGATACGGGAGACTCTGAACAGAACGCACATCAGCTGGCTGGCAGCACAGCAAATTGGAATCGACGACCATCTCATGAAATCATTCTTGCTTCCTTCACTCAGGTGCCGTGGACTTGCTGCAGTCGTTCTCAGAAGATCGGGCTGCTCTGCTTGGCTCGGACGGTGAAGCTTCGGTTGGGCGACGTTTAAATCGGCCGCGGTGCCATGAGGCGAGCAAGGCAATCAGCGCCACTCAGCTCCGCGCGGGCCTGGCCAAGCTTGGCTTCGAGCTGAGCGAGGAGGAGTTTCAGGAAGTTTACGAGAAGCTGGGGAAGGACTGTGGCGGATTGCTCCGGGCCTCGTGGCCTAGTGTAGCAGACCTGGCACACTCCACTCCTGGCCCAGGACGCTAGTGGACACGTACTGCTGGCAGATCTTGAGAAGAGATTGACCCGCACCGGAACCAAAGAGCGCCAGAGAAGTAAGCCGACTGCGGAAACGGAAGTGTGCGCACCCTAAGAATTCAAAAGACGTTGGGTGCTATCGCAGAGATGTGCAGAGAATTCAACATGTAATCGCTGGCTGTACATGTGGAAGGCAGCAGAAGCGTGCGGCTTCACATGTCCCCAGCTTGCGAACCGATGTCGGGGCCTCGTCAGTGCCACATGCTTGTTTAAGCTGTTTGAGGGGGCAGTTCGTAGCTTGCCGTCAGCACAGACGAAGGCTGCTCCCTCCGATGTGCCGAAACAGTCCGTGCCTGATGGGCTGGCAGGCCTGGTGCACAAAGAAGGCGAAATGTAAGGAACTTTTATGTTCCAAGCTTGGCTTCAACATCTTTAACTGGTAGAGGAACCGACACTGGGCAGGCTCGGCGAAAGGTTCCAGGAAGGTTGCCTTGGGATGTCTCAAGATAATTAATCAAAGCCAGCGAAGAATTTTCAATTCACTCGAGCGGGCCCGGGACAGGCTCTGGGAGGAGTTGGGCTGGGGTCGGCGTGAAGAGAAAAGCAACATGAGGAAAACATGATGAGGTGTGAGGCAGGCATTTGTTGACGCTATAAACAAAGAGAGAGTGATGAGCCAATCATTCGATGAATTCCTCTCTGTGGCTGGCCCAGAATCTCCTGACTTTAAGACAGACCATCGGAAGTGCCGGCAGGTAATGACAGGCACGGGGCCTTGACTGCACGTGAAAGATGCCTGGCGGCGACATGCTTTTAAACATAAAGCACACGACAATGGTGACTCAGTCAGTTTTCGATTTCAGACGTCTTCAAAGCCCGAGGGCGGATGGCGAGCCACCGGCGGAAGCCGATCGAGCTGGTGCCTTTGACAGACAGCGACTTTGTCCTGGCCAAAATCCGGAGCCTGCTTCTTCGGAGGACCTGCACTTCACTCCAGATCCAGAGAGCATAGCTGCGTGCAGTGCGATTGGCATGCAAAGAGCAAGCAAAAAAGCTGGCTAGGAAGGTCAGATCTGTGGATGTCCTCAAGCAACGTGGCTGCGAACATGTCTAAGCCTTATCCAAGCCTTTGGTGAGACAGCTTCCTTTGTGCTTCTGCCACCTTCTAAACTCCAAAATCTGAAGCATCGCAGGCATCCTAATGCATCTGCATCTGGCCCGAAGTCCTTCTCATTGCCAGCCCTGCTTACCTCAAGATGCTGCACTGCTTGCACGAGCGTTGCAAGCGGATCACGTGCAGGTGCTTGGATGCTAAAAGGAAAGGGTCAGCCTCCAGAGAAGAGCTGTGCAGTGGCTTAGAAAGGCATGGTCGGGGCTTTGGAAACCGACAGGCATCACAAGTCTGGCGCTACTGACCCGTTCGCAGGCTTGGTGTTGGTAAGCTTTCCGCATCTGAGAAGAGAGACCTTTTTTCTGCTTTGGACGCAGCAAACAGCGGCAACGTCAACCTGATAGAGTGCCTCGGTCATTTCAGGTGGCTTGCACTGCCCTGAAGGACGCGCACCGCCGGACTTCAGAGAATCTGAGGTTCCTTACTTCACTGAAACAAGCGGAGAAGAAGGCACGTAGCCAGGGCCAGGACGATCTCATCGACACTTGGAAACCTCCCCCGGAGTGACTTGGAAGCTTTCGGAAAAGCAGCGCCAGTCGCTGAATTTTGTAGGCTCTTACCCCTTTTGCCTCCCTGTGTCGAGGCTGGCTGATGCTTCCACCAGCACCACGACGGATTGGTCAAAGCGCACCCTCAAGTTCGACGGCGATTTCCCTGATGATGAACGTGGGACATCGAAGTGCTTGACAAGCCGTGAGGTCCGTGAGGTTTCTCAGTCCCTGGACTTTGACATCTCACAATCCGTGGACTTCGATCTGGCTCCTCACGACATGACGGCTTCGCTCAGCGAAACAACTTCTCCCCGAAGATGCTTGCAGATCAAGTGATGCCGTGATGCGTATCTCTCTCCAGCCCTCGGTGTCTCAGAGCCGAGGACTCAACGCCTCTAGCACTTCTTGGCTGCAGGCCTCTGCAGGACCTCTGAGAGCGGCTCTGTCAGCCCCCTTGGGTTGCGGCAACTTGCACGTGCTCTTGCTGCAACGAAAGCGACCAGGTACAAGCATTTGAGGCATGAGGTTTAAAGCGCAGCTCTGCGAGCATCTGAATGAAGTAAGGACAACTACATTTTGAGGCAAAGGCTGGTGAGCAATACGCGCGCATCGCATCCACCCAGTCTGGAGAGCGAAAGACTGCCGCTTCCTGGTGAAAATCATGTGCAATAGGGTCTGCGGCGCAGTGTAGCTCATTGTAACTCTGCACAGCCAGCCCAGGCTTTATAAGCATGGCAGATTCCGGTTGCTTCGCCAGCACTGTGACGTGGGCTGCCGCGTTTCATGCTTGAGCAATCCCAAGTGTCTCAGGCGAGCAATCGCAGACACCCGATGGGGAGCAGAGGTCGTTGGCCTTCCAGATGAGCGAATGCGTCGCACATGCGTGCCTTGTCTGGTGATCGCTGGCAAAGCATGCCAAAACAACTGTTCGGTACCTCCACCTAGGATGGGTGCCTGACTGCAAGCCGGCCTAGACGCCAGGACTTCATGGATCGCGGCAGGCCTGGTGCATGCCTAATGCAGGGCATGGCAGGGACCAGGGCCTCATTGTCTCTGCCAGGGAGAAGTTCCATGCTCCGCTTCTCCAGTCTGTCGTTGACTCTGTGGTATTTGGTCGGGACTTGGATTTCTCCGGAAGCCAGGATTATGACGACGCTTTTAAGGCCTGCCAACCTTGGAGCAGGGGGATGGCACTCATTGCATGCGTCATTGCAACACATGGAGCAACTTTCGACTGCACAGGCAAAATTCCGAGGCGCCTATGGAAAGCCTTCATGGTTTGCGGAAGAGCGTGAGAAGCTGGGGCCCAACAACCTTGCCCCAACTTGCAGACACCCTGCTTAGATGTGGCTCGGGTCACAAGTGACAGCAGTCGGTTGCACTCTGATATCCCGAAGCGTTCGGGAACGATTCCTGGGTTTGCTGCCGTGCCTCCAATGAGACATTTGGCCGGCCTGGAATCGCACATGATAACGTCCATCAACGGAGCATCGTCTGGCAAAGCCAGCACATGCATCGCTCCCGGAATTTCGCATAGTTCTATCAAGGAGAGCTCGCTCCTTGTTAGGGCAAAAGACACAATCCGTTGTTGGTGCAGTCAAGCGCACCAACCCGAAAAAGCAAAGGTTTGCCCACAGATGCGGCGCTGAGTTGAAACTAAGGGGCAGTTCCAGGCGAGTCAGCTGCAGACGCAGCAAGGTGGGAGCCGAGAGCCGTTGATCTTCATGTCCATCGCCTGTGTGCATTTCTGAAGGTTTCGGCTTTGCGGACTTTGGTGTTGGCCTCATTCGTTGCTCTACCAGGTTTCTTGAGTTTTCAGATTCAGGGCGGTGTTTAGGCCTTTTGGACTTGCATTCGCTGGCAAACCGGGTGTAGTAAGGACTTCTGGCAATCCAATAGCGGATGATCTCCGCGGGTGCAGTCTTGTTTTCCTGTGCGGTGTGAACCGCAGGAATATTTCACAGTGCCTTCAGCCATGGTGGCCGATGTCAGGTTTGTGATGCATGGGAGTGGCGCAGAGCGTGACGGGGGGGAGGGGGGGGGGGCGGGGCGGACGCTAAATTGTCCTTCCCAGGTCCAGCACACCACCTGTTTCATGTAGACTACAGGTAAAGGTTAAGCACCGTCCTTTTTAACAGCACCAGATAAAGCCAAATCAAGTGCACTAATGGGCGATTGCAAGCGCTTCATGCGGGAGCCAAACAGCTGGAAGCGTGCAAGATCTTCGCCAGTCATCTTCAGGCGTTGTTCTCGAAAAAAGGTTCAGGCCCCCCATTTTCCCCCAAAGTTTCACACATATGAAGCTCCCTCTTTTGTTGGATGCCAGTTTCCAAAAAAACTGGGAGGTTCATGTAAGCACGCGGGTGCTCAAGGAGCACAACCAGGAACATGAAGTTGTGTTCTGTTCCAGTCGGGAAAGGGCTGTAGGGGAAGGATGGGGAAGCGAGGGCAGGGCATGGAGGGAGGTGCGGGGGCGGGATGGGGGACAGGACGGGCGGCCGGGTGGTGTGGGGTCGGTCAGCGAGCTCAGAAGCACCGAGTCAACTAAACCGATAGGATTTCACATTCGCCACTTCGATTCCGGCCAAGCCTCCAGCCTCAGGCTGTCCGCAGATGGGACAGGCAGCTCGGGACCTGGAGGGGGTCTAGGAGTCAAGGGTAGTCAGATAGTTGTTGTAAGTTCGTCCAAAACTGGTGCCTGCGAAGGCAGATTACGGTGCCTTCCAGCACCCACAAACGGAGAGGTCGGTGTCGTGTCTTGTTGCAGACTCGCTTGGTTTTGTCGGCTCTGGCAAGGCCTGGGCCGTACTGAGATTGGCTGAACAGGTGTTTCCCAACATGGTTCCAGCAATGTTCAAGCCAGACAATGGGTTGATCGTTGATTGCTTCTCATGGGAGCCAGATGCTGTATGTAGGTGATAAAGGTTGCTGCTGCGTTGGCATGACCGGAAACAGCTCTGTCCATGCAAGATCTGCTTTCAAGCGAGCCCTGTGATGCCAAGAGAACTGGCATCTTCCGGCCGGAGAAGAAGCCGAATACGCGATTCAGCAAATTCCACTGCTTCGAGGGTTTGTGGATGTTCGCGGTATCCTGGAAACACGCTCGGGCTGAGCGCTTCCTGCGTGCTCAGAAAAATGGGGCAGCTGTCTGACTTGTTGCTTGCGAGCGATGCGTTGTCCGGTGCGGTTCTGATTTGCATCATTCGGCTTGCACGCACACTCCAGCTTTCGCTTTCGAGGACGTTGCGTTGATGCGCTTTGACGTCCATCTGTTGATATGCCAGTGTGGTGTGCGGCGGCTGTCAGAATTTCATCAGAAAAGCCCTGATCCTCAACAAGCACACATAAACGCCCCCAAGGCCATCAAGATCTTGATATTTTGTGAAAGCACGCGGAAGAGGACGAGGCACCCAAGAGTGTCTGTGCCTTTGCGGAGAACAGACTGCCTGCATCCAAGCGTTTTTCCACTGGTGACGCTCATGCGACGGTATTGCACCATACATTGCTCATTAATACCACAAACACTATGGCATCATTTGAATCCTGCTTGTACATGTCGGCTTGCTTTTCAGGTCCCCTGGGAGCAGCAGAAACGCTGTGAGTGATGCCGAAGTCTGCATCTGTTAGGCGAAGCAGACTACATAGGTTTTAAGTTTTAAGAGAGAAATGCTGGAATTCTGCAGTTCTCTATTCTAACTGAGGAAGACTAGAGCTTTTGGTTCTTGACGATAAACAGGGCATTCAGCTTTATCTCAATTTATCTCCTAGTGTACATGAAGCAGGCAAGGTTTTCGGAAAGAAATCCAGGATTCGGGATTTTTGTTTGGCCTTCTTGAAGCAGACCAAGTTTTTTCGCGAGAAACTGTGGAATTAGGATTTTATTCAATGTCTACATTAACTAGACTAGGATTTTGGAAAAAAGTTCCGAGATGACAATTTTGCCTACTCCAGCTGAAGCAGACCAGGATTTCGTCGAGAAGCTGGGCATGCATGGATGCATGTATGCATGTATGCATGTATGCATGTTTTCGTGCATGCATGCAGGCATTACATACATACATCCATACATACAACTATCCATGCATCTATTCATCAGTCCTTCTATCCATCCATCCAGCCAGCTAGGCAACCACGCATCCACGCATCCACGCATCCATCCAGCCATCCAGCCATCCAACTATCCAGCCATCCAGCCATCCAGCCATCCAGCAATCCAGCCATCCAGCCATGCAGGCACGCACGCACGTACGCACGCACACATGCATGCATGCATGCATGCATGCATGCATGCATGCATTCATGCATACTGCATGCATAAAAATATATACACATAACATGAAAAAGTTCTCTAGAGACGAATCGTCTATTATAACTCGAGCATTGTCTGTTTTCATCTTGTACAGAATACGCCATGATGCCCACTGTGTGTGCAATAATGTTGCTGCCCCACCATTTCATTGATGCTCAGTCTGGCTTACGGCTTACAAGGACCAGGGAATCTGCTTTGCAGATGCCGAGCAATGAACTCCAGAAGGGACAAGCGCATGCGATGGTCCACGGCTTCTTAGTCCATTCTGCATACTGCTGCCGCACCAGTTGGTCTCAGATCAGTTGTGGTGTTGTGTTAGATGCTCCTTTCAACCTGTAAGCGAGCACCGCCAGCAAATGCAAGACGTTTGATGCGCTAATCATACAGATGCAGCACCAAGTGCATGTCAGCACAACGTTGATTCCGAATGTGTGGATATGCACAACGCAATCCATTGAGCCTGAAGCTTTTGATGCGTCGATGGCCGGCGGCTTAGAACTAGCAGAAACAGTCCGTTTCCTGTGAGGCTTGAACGCAATGTGAGGACCGATGTCGTGATGACTGGCACGGTCGGTCTCATCGCGAGGCCAGGCAAGCAAACATTTTACACTGACTGGTCCGACAAGTTTTCATGCTCAGTTTGAGAGCGTCCGCCGAGCCATGTCAAACATCCATGTTGAATGTGGTAGCGAGGTGGCCCTCGTTCGTGGATCTGAAGGTGCCATGCGCGCATGATTGCCGTGTGCTGTGCGGTGTCTGTGGTCTGCGGCTATCGAGGTTTTGAATGAATTTTCGTGTGTGAGCCAGAGCTTGCCGACTTGATGATGGGAGCGAATTTAGGCGAGTCGTGTCAAGAATGCAGGTTCCTGGACGCCGGCAGTGGAGCTGACGTTTCTCAGACGATACAGGCTGCAGCAGCACATTCGTGTAAAGGTCAAGCAATTCGAAGCACTGGCTGCAGGCTGCGCAATGGCGCTCTCGCAGATCATTCGTCCCGTCCTGTGTGGAGTTCTTCAAGCGTAGGTCTCCAGATGCAATGGTCTTGATTGCTGGGCGGCATAGTTGTCCACAGAAGTTAACTCGACAGAACTGTTAGTAGGTCATTCTGCCCAGGTCGTTCCTGTTCAGCAGCGATAAAACGATTTTCCACTCCAAGATTAGCGGGAACACGGACGCTCGGACACGGCAGCTCCTCTCGTGAGATGTTCTGCCTGCCCATGAGCTCTTTCCTCGCTGCAGCTGTCTTGAAATACAGTTTGCTTGCCCTTTTATTTGTAGATGGGGCCCCTAGCCAAGAAGCAATATGCTCATATCGTATTATATAATTATGCGTATAGACTTTGCCAGTCGACCACATTTGTTTAAACGCAACTGTGGACTTGCGAGACCCACGCCGATCATGACAACCGGCGTTGCCGCAGATCCGGCGGAGCGCCTGGCCTCTGCGCAGAAGCTTCGAGAGGAGGGCAATGCCAAGTTCAAAGAGAAGGACCGGGCCAGTAGGAGCATCTCCAGTCGTGTCAACTTGCAGTAAAGTGCCGGCTTTCGTCAGAAAGACAGTAAAAATGCTTTCGAGGATATGGAAGGAGCTCGGAAAGCATACAGCGAGGCTGCCCACCGCATGAAGTTGCAGCAACGATCCGGAAGAATTGAAGGGTCATCGCGGTGGGTTGAGGTACTTGTGACTGTATTGGGGCATGTTTGCATAGTGCAGTGCAGCAATGCAGTCGGAGCGGCGCAGCGTTGCAATGCAGTCTACGCATCTTGGTGGTAACAGGCGTTGCGACTCACTCAATTCAAAGAAGTCCCGGAGGGAGTCTTGGCCGTGAGTTGGAATTATTCGTCGATTTTGCGCAACTCGCTTGGCGATTTGCCACCCCTGTCCTTGCATAAGGCTTGGGCGAAGACCTGGTGGCCCTGAGGAGACCAACACAGTTGAAGCTTCGCAGCAGTCAATCTGCGACCGGAGACCGAGTTCACGCTTGAGCAAGTTGTTCGTGCCATGTGTGCACCTTCATGCGAGGAACTTGGCATTGGTTTGTCTGCGGTCGGATCCGACAGAGCCCTTTCGGGCACTGGAGCTTTGCGAGGCAGCGCAAAGTCCTGAGTGCGGATTTGCCTCAAGGACCAGTGCCCTGAGTTGCCAGGAAGTGCTCGACGCAGAGCCAGACAATCCCAAGGCACCGGCACTTGCAGCGCAGGTAGCCGGTTGGTAGCCGTTGTGCTGAGTTTGACACAAGACTTGGCGGCTGAGAAAACAAACTCCGACTTGCCTGCGGCAGGCCACCTACCGCAAGGCCAAAGCGCTAATGGTGTCCTGGCCCACCCAAGCGAAGGTCCACATTTCTCGGCCGTGGGGCCATGCCTGTGCATTCAAGGAGCTTGGTGAGCAGAAGGAGGCCGAGTTCGAGCTGGTGCGGGCATGCAAGCTGATGCCCAAGGACGAATTTCCGTCAAGCAGAAGGGGACACCCTGTAGCGACAAGCCGATGCGATTCTCACAGGACGCTTCAGTGAGGAAAGAGCTGGAAGCATTGAGACAGAGCTTTCGGAACGACAAGGCCAAGGAGGCGGCAACCTTCCAAGGTGGGGCTTGCGGACTGTCCAGTTGCGTCACACAGTGACGGTTCTGACCGAGGCCTTTTCGAGAAGAGCCCTGGCTTCGCTTCAGACAATCGCAAAAATGCGACGCAGAAGCTGAGCAAGGCAGACGTGGACGACATATATTTCCATGATGGGAAGGCCAGCTGCGGTGCTTGCTGCAGTCATTTTCCAGCTTGACTCGCAGAGTGTTGCAGGAAAATCCGTACGAGGGCGCCGACAACCCCCAGGAGTTAGTGCCACACCAGCCATCCAGTGTTAGCCAAGCAGAAGCCACAAGCATTTTAGACTACATCCCGATGTTGCACTGTTGTGACATACGCGCGGTGGATAACTGTATATTGTGTGTGTCGTCACTGCCATCAACATTTGCTGTGGATACATGTTGTGCTGCTAGTTTGAGTCAGCATTTGAAGGAGGCATTGGAGGGATGTGCCTTGCTACCCCCTTCTCCTGTTTTTCGATTCTGCCTTCCGGGCATTATGCTGTTCCGACATCGTCGAGTTGCCAAGCCATGCCAACGCAGAGGAGAGCCCACACCTATCATGATAACACGAGAAGATGGATGGTTTGATTTTATGCAAAACGCTTGTGTCGCATGCACATGATAGTTTTAGCCAGCAGTCACAGACCTGTCCCATGCACGAAAATGCCGGTCCATAGTTTTTTCAAGAAAGCACCTTGCCCCTCGACGGACTTCGACAGGAGTTGGCCGCGGAGTTCCAGGCATCCGGCAAGTTGGAAGATGCGGCTCAAGCATGGGAGGCAAAGGATGGCATTTTGTTTTGAGCCCTTCCGATACTCTTCATGAGTGCTGTCTTCGTCAGTGGCTTCGGAGCACAGGTCGCCATGGGGCAGACGGCGTCGAACGAGGACTGGCAGCGGCCTTGAACCACTTTGACAGTCCGGAGCCGTCACCTCGTGTCGTCAGAGTACGAGCCGTTCTGAGGCAATCTCATTTGACTTATGCGCTGGAATATGGCGCTTTGCTGATGGACATCAACATCGACCGGCTCGCTTTGCGCTGCTTCAGCACAGCTTCTTGTTCCAGACTTTCGTGGAGTGGCAAAGTGACGAACGGTTCAAATAGATTGCTTTATGAAGGCATCATGGGCCTAGCTGCACAACATTTCAGAAAAGGCTGTCGATGTTTCGCGGCGAGTTGAGACCCAAAGGTCTTCGAGCGTCCTGCTCAAGATGATGAAGCCGAGAGGGCATTGGCGCGGGTCAGGCAAGCCATCGTCTTCTGGTTCTCGTTCGTTGGGAAAGCGCCATGAAATCCGTGAAAGTGCCTTCCAGAGCTGCCATCTGCCACGTGTGTGCTTCAGGCAGAACGCCTTGCTCCTCAAGTCCATCTGCTTGTTAAACGAAGCAGCAGAGGATCCACAGGTGGCGCGGCACAGAAGATGTCATCACAACTCAAGCTTTGCAGTCGATCAGTTGTGTCAATGTTCATGTGAGGCAGAAATCACTGAGTGCCTGGAGAAGTGGCTTTCGGCAGCACATCCAGGTCGCTGGACTGTTAAAGATTGCTTGCCTCTAATCGGCAGACATGTGGCCCTGCTTTGGCACCAGTTCGTGTGCGGGAGTCGATGCCGTCAGGTCCTTCGGAGGAGGGACTGCAGGAGAGACTCATCCATTTGAGAAGCGAGAAGGCCTTGAAATGATGTCAGCTTCGAAGATGGCTAGAGTAAAGTGTCGCCCGGTGCATCCGTAACGTATAGTGGTGTATCTCCCTCTCTCTGCAAAGGGCGGGCCCGCCAGTGCCGATGTCGCCGTGGCCTTGGGCTTGCTCCAGCTGCTGCAGGGCCAGGAGAGGCTGCTCAAGAACTTGGTTCACAGGATTGTTGAGAGGATTTCTGAGCAGAAGCCAAGCAGCTTGCATCCGAAGTGAAAGTGAGGCACTTTGTCACAGGGAAAGTGCTTAAATAAGGTTGGCCGCATGCATGCACTGCGCAGTTGCCAGGAGTCTGTTGCATCGACTTTTGCTTCTGCCTTGCTGGCTCCAGAGGCCGCATATATCTTCTGTGCAAGCAAAGAATCTTGAGAAGTGCCCAAAGCTAGGCCGTCCATCTCATTGCTTGGCTTTTCGCAGTCGTTGCAAGGGGCATTTTGTGTCGCTTTGTCACATGGGCTTTTGCCAAGCACTCCACGATTACAATCGCGTGACCATTTGCACATTGCTGCAGAGATCTATGTGCCTCCGGAAGAAAGCCTGAGCGAGGACGACAGCTATTTTGGTGCTCCTCGGCGGCGTGCCATCAGGCCACGCTCTTGGAAGCAGGCAGTGAGCATGGAAAGTGGTCAAGTCGGCGCAGGTGGAACATGCTTGGTGCAGTCCTGGCAAATCGTGGTCGTCCAGAAGATGCTGTTTGTGCATATCGCTGGGCGCTGTAGCCCATGTCTAAGACTGATTGTGGTTCGAATGGCTCTTTGCTCCATCAATTCAGTCTCTTCTTCGTGCTGCCATCTTGTACTGCTGAGCTGGCAACCCCATTATCCGCGAGCTTTGATCAACCTGGCCATGGCGGAGCTCAAACGTCGAGGCCTCAGAGCCTCAGGCAACTCAGGCAACATGGGATTGAAGCCTTTGGTCAAGTCCTGGTGACGACAAGCCCAAAGGTTTACAGTACAGATTCCCCACGGTGTCAAGCAAATGGCGCGTAGTGAGATCATTGCAAGATGTGTGATGTGGGAAGAATAGAGGTGTTCGGGAAGACACTGAGCAACACAGGTTCTTGCTTGGCCCATGTAGAAAGCAGCGGATAATGGTTGAGGATTCTCACTTCCTTAGTAATTAGCCTTAGTGATTGAATGCATTTGTGTCTACCTACGCTTGCAACGGCACTGCTCCAAGAAGAGTTCCTTGACGTTCTCGTCAGTGTAAGGTGTGGGTAAACAATGAAAGTGTAACCCACAAGCAGAGCGATTAATCCGGAGACTTTGTTGTGCGCTGTTTGGATGTATTTCCTGGTACGATTGCAGTTGCGTAGATGCTTTGAGTGACAGTCCCCTGAAATGATTATTGGTCTTTCTCAGGTGGTGGCTTCCTCGAAGCCGCAGCTGCGCAGGATCGGGACAGTATTTCCACAACACAGCTGGTCTGCAGCGCACATCTCCAATTTGACGCCACTGGTCCAAACTAAGGCTGCGGCCATTGCTGCCTCTCCCAGTTGGGCGTGCGGAGAGCTCTGGGCGCAACTGGAGAAGGAGATTCGATGCCAGATGCTACGCTGAGATGTTCGGGATGAGACTGAGTTTGCAAATAGCATGCTACCGCCTGTCAGGAAGCACTCGCTCAGACGTCGATTGACCCACTGCTGCAGTGTTTGTCTGTGTGTTGGCTGGGTGCAATGGCTCAAGCAGTCCAGATTCCGCAAAACAGATTTGACTTCCTTTCTCAAGCTAAGGACGATCTTGCTGAAGCGGTACAAGCCCGTCACATTGCTCGGGCAGCGAACTCAACAGCAGCTACTAGAAGTGTTTGCAGGAGCTCTTAGGCATTGAGCTGTTTATGTGTCCCAGAGCGACATGACCACGAGTTTGGTAGGTTCGTGAACTGCTGGCTCCACACTCCGACAACTTGGACACGTCCTCGATGCCTGCCACTTCTCCGGCGGAGGTGCGAAGGGAATTGTCGGACGGGCCTGTGGACAGGTTGTAGAGTTCTTTTGGAGTCTAAAGGTTTCGTTCAGCAAGGTCTTGAAAGAGATGAAGCTGGTCGAATAGATCGCACTGTTTGCGATCCTCTCTGCGCCCTGGCCGAAGCAACAGTTTCTTTCGCAGACATTCTGGCGACAGCTCTGGCAGTGTCACATCCGATCGCCTTCCAGATTGTGACGCTTTGATCCGATGTACAGACCCAGCTTTGGGCTCTCAGCTCAGGTCGTGCCGGCTTAAACAGCGCCTGACAGAGCCCTGCGGCCCGACAGTTTTAGAAGTCTGTGTAGACAGGCCGGCTGAAAGCCCTGAGAAAGTCCTGGCGGGACGTGCACTCCGCGAAGTAAGACCTTGATTAAGATAGTGGAACTTTCGAGAACTCGCCGGACGACGTCCTGCCCCAACTCTTTAAGTGAGCACCTTGCTCAAAGTGCTCATACCGCAGCAAGTTCGCTGACATGCCTCAGAAGCCAGACTCGCGCCTCGACGCATGGAGGTTTCCCGAGAAAAGGTTCCATTGGTGCACTTCAACTTGCAACCAGCGCGGGTGTGATCAGAGACTTCCCTGCCTAATTTGAAGCTCGGGCGAAGTAGGTTCCTGCTCGCTCTCTCTCTCTCTCTCTCCCTCTCGCTGTCTCTCTGTCTGTGAATCCAGGAGTACAAGTCCATTTCACCGCTGGGCCTACCCAACGTGTCTTTGGGTATGCTCTTCAAGGCTCGGAAGACAGATTAAGCAACAAGTCGTGCAGTGTGGAAGCCTGCAGATGGTTGTGGTATCAATGGCCTTGGCAGTCATGCTGTACGGCACCATAAAGGCACTGACCGGCGTGCCTGGCATTTGTTGAGTCGTGCAAGCTAGGCCCTGCTTAGTCACAAAGATGTGGCGCATTTGCGTCGCTCGACGGGGACTAGGAGCAAGCAGTCTCGACTTCCGCATGGTTGCCACATGTTTCGTGGCGTGATTCCTTTTATGATGGTTTCATGATCATTATTCTGCAGCCACAATAGTCACAAGAGTGCATAAGGGTGGCTTTTTTGAGGAGGCAAGCCCCTTTCTGCCCCTTCTCGTGCTGCTGCTGCTGCTGCTGCCGCTACTACTGCCCAGACCAATCAATCCAGAAATCATCTTTGACAAAACGTGTGGTTCACACTGGGGATCAAATGCGTCGAGGTCACAGCGAATCGGTACGTACTGCGCAGCGCGCCAGCTGGGAGGTTCCCCGGGTCGCGGCTCTCGCTGTGCAGCTGCGTCGCCAGAAAGCCAGATCCGTTGTAAATCCCAACAGTGGCAGTACTGGGGTAAAGCATCTTGGCTGTGCCCCTGAATCCCAACAGTGTTTGGGGGAAAGCATTCTGGCCATGGTCTGGAAGCATGATGGTAATGTCTCTGAATCCGCACAACTCCGGAATCTGGCCTGTGTTTGCAGGAAGCAATTTTGCCGTTGTGTCCTCGTGGTCCCTGGGCGGTCTCGTGAATTCTCCTACTTCTCGTACTGGTACTGGTACGCGAATAGTACTAGACTTTACTCGACTTACTTGCTACTAGTACTGCTGATACTGGTACTACTGGCACGGCTGGTGCTACTGGCACTGCTGGTACTACTGGTACTACTGGTACTACAGATACTGCTGGTGCTACTGGTACGACCTGGTACTACTGATACTAGTAGGACTACTGGTAGTACTACTGGTACTACTGGTACTACTGGTACCACTCGTACCACTGGTACCACTGGACGAGGACGACGACTACGACTACTACGACTACGACTACTACTAATACTACTGCTACTACTTTCTACGACCTACTACTACTTACTACTACTTGCTATTACTACTAACTACTACTTCTACTACTACTACTACTACTGCTACTACTACTATTACTATTACCACCACCACCACGACGACTACTACTACTACTACTACTACTACTACGACTACTACTACTACTACTACTACTACTACTACTACTACTCCCGGAAAAAAGGACAGGCCAACAGTGAATGCAGACATGAGTGCTGCGTGGTGTCAAAACACATCCGCATGCCGTGCAGCAAGATGCCGTGCACTGCCTGCTAGCCACAACACCCAACAAGCCCTACGACTTCTCTGCGTTTGAACGCTCAGGTCTGGATGGAATCCTGGCTGGGCATGGGAGGAGGCCGGCTGCGGCACTGCAGTCGTCGAGGGTGCGAGCGGCAATATTCAAAGCTGCACAAGCCCTTCTGCTGCTCCGGATGTGGTAGTGGACAAGGGCATCACACACGTCGCTGTGACCGACACCAGCGGCGGCACGCACAGGCGGGCCAGAGGGCGGCACGTATGATGCCAACAGAGTGCCTCAACGACGGCTGTACCAGACAAGCTGGAGTAGGGCACTTGACATGCTGCTCCACATGCGCCCCAGGTGGATTTGTGCACACCCGGCGCTGCAACCAGGTCATGGGCAGAACGATGCCCACTGGGAACGATGCAACTCAGAGGGCTGCCACACAGCAGCCAGGCCAAGATCAACCGACTGCAAGTCGGGACCCCGACATGCGGACCAACAGCTCTGGAACGAATGATCTGCCCGCTCCAGTATCCCTTGTGCATGGACAGCAGATGACGCCAGCTACCGAGAACATGCAGGCTCCGGGCACTGGCACCATGGCCTCATCTTCTTCATGCCACATGCCGAGCACGGATATGGAACACATGCAGGTCGATCAACCGGAAGCTGAAACTGCAGACGTCGATGCAAGTATAGTGCAGCGTAAAGCTACGAGTCATATTGTACAGGGCTGTGTTATTGAACTCGACGAGCTTGACTAGGAGGATGCCAAATATGGCAAAGTTGTCCACGGAGCCACAAAAGTGGTGCGGCCTAAAGCCGCCGGATCAAAGGTCCGTCCTTCGTCAGACAGCACGGATCGGCCCGACGAGTGCAATGCAATACTACTACTACTACTACTACTACTACTACTACTACTACGACTACTACTACTACTACTACTACTGCTACTGCTACTGCTACTGCTACTGCTACTACTACCACTACTACTACTACTACTACTACTACTACTACTACTACTACTACCACCGCCACTAACTCCACTACCACACCCACTACTACACTATTCTCATGCCGCTGCTACCGTGCGGCACTGTGACAGCAGCTGCCGCTGTTGTTGTTGTTGTTGTTGCTGTGGTGGCTTTGGCTGCACTTGCAACTTCGATGACGATAAGAATGCATGGTGGGCTTCGAAAGCATTCGGAACCGAAGGGAAGCAACAGACAAGAAGCCAGGAATGTCGGGCTAAAATCCTACTCGAACTGCCGGTTCCCTGCTTGCCAGCGCACCATGAAGAAGCGAAGCGAAGCGGGTGGAAGCTGCCAGGTCAAGCGTAAGGTTTGCAGAAATAAAAATGGCACAATCCCGATTCCTTGTATCTTGGACTCTTGGACGACAAAGATGTCAATCAAGAAGCAGCAGCCGAGGTGTTCCTGCAACGTTGAGCCAGGTGAACACTTAGATCACTTAGATCGGTGTACCTGGCCGAGACTGTCGAACTCATCTGAAGCGGTGAGACTATCGACAGTGAACAGGCTGTTCAGCATCCGGCACGACACGGTATCAACAAATGTTTCACACGCTACATGCCACTCTGGCTGCGCACTACTGCCAGCTGCCGTCAAGAAGCTTATGAAGATCATTGGAAAGATGACCAGCTGCGTGCTCCTCAGTATCTGCACAAGCCGAGCACTCGAGATGGCTGTGGTTTTACTTGCCTCTTCCGCACCGTTCAGATGCAAGCAGCATCACGATGCCCAGTGGCGCACTCGGAACACTTCAGCACATCTCAGCCAAACACGTCATCAGTGGCCATGGTTAACAGGGCCCGACAGCGCACGATCACTCCTCCGATCACAGCGACTCCTGCACGCAGCTCAGAGCTTGCATGTGGGACTCATCCTCGTGTCAGGTGGAGACGCCTTCATGGACATACCTGGAGACACGGCTGAGAGCTGTGATCTGCAAAATCAATTCCCTGCTCGTGCGACATGGAGGATTTCCAAAGATTCCACAGCTGAAGATCCCGGACATCCCAGGGCTAAGTCTGGAGCTCAGTTCAGTCAGCCCTGTTGGCTGATTTCACCGCGCTTGAGCGTGGCAGCCATGAGTTGCTGTTCTTCCGAAGCATGGAGTGTGTTGTCAGTGTTGCGCCCTGCTGAGGTCCACCAAAGCTTAGCATAGGCGCCTGGAGCCTGCTTATTGCCACCACTCTTTTTTTGTTGTATTTGAATTGAAGTGTAGCTGCAACCAAATATCAAGATGTTGCTGCTTTGCAGTATATACTTGTTGCGTTCTGGATGCCATACAGCATGTATCATGGCCTGCTCGTGATGGGAGGCTCGGCTGCCAAAATGCTGGGCGTCTTGCTGCATTTTGTTAGTCCGAGTGCGACGGCTCACTGGTATCGGCTGTCGTGTTTACTGAGGAGCGGGAGCGGTGGCGCTGACGGCACCGCTGGCAATTCTTGCTGCCGGTTTCACAGTCTGAAAGTCAGCGTACTGCCAGCTTGCCTGAGCCCGCGACGCTTGTCGAGGCCATTGCGTTGCTCAACAGGTACCGTATCTTCAAGGCGAGGCTGTGGCCACCACTCTCAGGCTGGGCAGAGGGGGATGAGAGGAGCTTTGTCTGAAGTACGTCGACTACCGCGAATCACAGCGGTCTAGGTCAGCTCGCTGTCTCGATGGCCTTACTACTAAGTGCTAGCTACGTATCAAGTGTGAAGCACGTGGCCACGAGCTCCTGCCTCAGGCCTTCCGGGTCTTCGAAATGGCCTGTACCGTCTGCCTTACCGTGGTTTCAAGGGCTCCACCCTCGGCATCATTCTCGTGCCGGCAAGTGTTGTTCTGATAAGATCACAATCTGCGATTCGTGCCTGCTGACATATGCATATATGTATGCATGGACGTATGTATGCAAGCATGCATGGATATATGGATGTTTGGATGTACGGATGTATGGATGTATCGCTGTATGTATGAATGCTGCCCGCGTGTGTCTCAGACGGCACATAGCTCGCTGAACCGCAGATCAGTTGAGGTGTGTTTTCGCACTTGCCCTACTTCGACCAGCTATACAATGCAGGTGGGCCGATTTTCTGGGAATCTGAAAAGACCCTCCAGAGCCTTCGGCCATTCATCTCCTCTCTCGCATGCGGACTTCGGTAGCATGTCGTCGGACAGACGTCGCATTGCCATTGCACGATTCAATCACAGCAGTTTGTGTTGATGGTGAGCTCTTTTTGCCTTCTGTGGCAGGAGGTCGTGTCGCTCTCAGTGTTGCCGCTTGTGTGATGAAGTTCTCAAACTGCCGTGCTTGCGTATGCGGTGGCTTGTTGCGGAAACGGGTGTCACATGGCTTCAGGCAGGCTGCCCATTCTAGGCTTGCCCAAAGAGGCGCTGAATCCAGGCGGGCTCAAGCACCAATCGGCTGAATTCTTCCGCAGGGTTGCAGTGAGCAGGCAAACAGCCCATGGCGGCTCGTCGACAGCTCAGCAGTGTGCAGAGCCCTCCATCTGTCACTGCTGGAGGACTTCCAACCTTTTGCTGCGATGTTTACGAACTCGGGTCACGTAGGTTGCAGAGCCATCTGCATCTGTGACTCTCATTGAGGCATCAACAAGCCCAGAATCGAGGGTGCTGCAGGCACATTGCAGAGTCGCGTGTCGCCATGTAGGCTCGAGTTGGTTACGTATGTGCGTTGCAGTCCGATCAAGCCTCGACACCTTGAAAGCAGGGGCATGTTGCATCCAGTTCTACATAGGCCGATGCAGGAGACAGATTCCCTTCCACCCAGTCTACCAGATTCTCGAAGTTCAAAAAGCGCTTCCAAATACCTCCTTGTCGCAAGAGTTTGGGGATCGAGACCCAGTAGCCTCCAATTAAGATCGGGACCTGCCCTCGCCGCAGCTGTCGACTACGACACGGTCATGAAAGAGTACGACTTCGCCCATGGTGCCCGGTCCCTTCAAGCTTCTTGAGGGTCGAGCACCTGCTGCAGCATGTAGTCCCGGAGCGAGACTACAGACGAGACTGTGCATACATTGCCGAATCTAAGCTGCGAAAGGTCAACCTTGGAAAGAGCGTGCTGGTGCCCTCCATCATCTTGAACCTTTCTATGCAGTTCAAGCGGCTTCTTGGACTCACCGCATTCTTCAGCCCTTCAGCGAGGAGGGTCTGCAACGCCTGAGCTAGTGTGCTTCTCCTGCACACCCAGGTTTAAGGAGAAGATACCATTTATGGGGCCTCCGACCGTTCGGAACCAAGAGGACTGTGGCTGATGTGGGACCTCGGCTCCCCCCAAAATAGATTTTGGATACCGCAGATCTTTGAGGTGAAAGAAATGTTTGGGACGGAGAGCCTCATGAAGAAGCTGACGCGAGCTCTGGTGAAAGGACTCTAGCTTGAGCTGTAAAGAGCATGAGATGTCTCCTGACTGTTGCATCCCTTGGCTATTTGGATCGTGGCTTGCAGGAGCTATGGCTTATGGAGCCTACAAGGCAACGGGCTTCGTTGCCGAGGCGCATTGTCTCCGAGCCTTCTGCCTGGCCTTGCGCAGCCAATTGATCTTTCTGTCCCTCAGTGTTACCACCAGCAGGGAACTTGCCGGTGGCCTTCAGCATCACCGGCTGTCGTGTCCTTGGAGCGATGATGCATATCAGTCTTTAAAAGCTCGGCATATTGGAGCAGCTGCAGTAGATCAACCCGCATGAAAGTGCCGATTGTCGAGGGACCGCTTGCCTCGAGCTTCACACTGTTCGGTCCTTGCCTGCATGCCTTTGCGGGTGCACAAGCCGGGAGAGTTGTGAGAACTGCAGTGTGAGAGCTGACGGCTTCAACCTGAGCAGGATTTGTTGTGGTGTGTCGCTCGCTACTGACAAAAAACTTCGTCTCCGTAGCTTCGGCTGGCGCTCCGAGGCCGGAACATGGGCGTCTGCTCGAGCAGTTCTCGACAGGCGCAGACTGCTGCATCGCTTGTGTTGGCATCAGCTCCCAAGCGATTATAGCCGGGCTTCGTGCTCGTTGCGTTCGCTGTCATATCACGTCCACAAATTTTGTTGCTCTTCAGGCTTAGACGGACATGAGGAAAGTTACCTGGGTGAGAGTGCGAGGCCGGCGCTTTAGCGGACTCGCTACCGAAGTGTGTAGACCTTCAGTCAACCAAGGCCCGCGAAGACCTCCCCAGTCATCCAGGCAGGCGCTGTGCCTACGCGATCCAATGCATTACTTGAGGAGCATTGTGTGATACTGTCTGCTTCGGGCTTCGGCAGTGGAAGCCTTTTGGCACAGGCTGGAATGCTGGAAGAGGCGGCGGGCCTCGTGCTGACCTTACAGCAGACGGATGCAGACAGCGCACATGGCCGTGTCTGCCCTCCCAAGCTTCTCCGCTGTGACTCGTTGTGTCTTTGACTGGCGTGTGGCGGATGCAGCCTGATGTTTCTATGTCTTCGGAGATGTCATGTGTTCGGGACTTCGACTTGTAATCGCCAAAACATCGCAGCGGTCTGATGCTGGCTCCGGGCCCCCGATACCCAGCTGGAAGCAAAGGAATCATAAAGCATCCTCTGTGTTGTGGTGCCCCAAGTACAGTGATAACGCGACGAGTAGTATGCTCGGCTACCACTGGCCACCCGTTCAAATGTTAGTTTGCAAAAGCCGTGCTCGCGGCCAGGCCTCGACGCATCGGCATGATGTGCTGAAAGTTCGCGATGCCATCCATGAACCATTCGGATGTGCGCCGTGTTTGCTGCACCCCTCTCTCACCTCTCCCATCAGTGGACACCCGAAGCTTCGAACCCGTGCGCCGCGGCCTGCGACCCTCGGATTCAACCCAATGCCCACCAGAGTGCGCGAGGGTTGCAGAGAACGTCTTGACGTGCGTCCGATCTTTGGACATCCGGTCAAACTTGAGTGCTCGCCTGTCGGTCCAGACTGTTCAGTGTTCCAGCTCCTCGGTCCATTCACGATCCAGAAACTGCAAGACGTGGTAAGGCAGTCCCTCCGTGGCAGTTCTTTCTGGAGCAGAGCGCCCTTTGTGACGGAGGCTCGGCAGTCTCTGTGCTACTTTGGCGATCTTGGGTCCTGGGTGGTGTGCATAGAGCTTGCCGTCTTCAATACCAGTCTCATTACAAGCAGCACCCATGCCAAGTGCTTGCGTTGCGTCCCTTTCGGGCACGGTCCATGCTTGGTGGCAGGATGCTCGAAGAGTCGAAGAAGGGTGGACGGCTCAAGCAAGGATTCGCCATGATTCCCACTTGCGAACAAACTGTACAATTTTGACTCCAGGCTTAGGACCTAGGCTTTGGATTTAGGTGTTCGGGGTGTAGTTGTTGAACTCCAATGTGCTCAAAGTGTGCCATTTTGCATTTTGAATTTTATTGACATATTACGGGATCTTCAGGGGCCAAATCGAATGGGACCTTTTCCTTAGAGGCCGATCATCAACGCCGGCATGGAGTTTTGAAGTTCAAGTCGCCTCCGAGACTGTTCTGTCATGTTGGTTGTTTTTCTCAAGCTGAAGGCAGAGAGGACATCTAGATGCTTGTTCGTGATTTTGCCAAGACTTGAGCCGGCCCCTAAATACTTCACGACCTCGACCACACTCGAGGCTTCCGCGCTGTACTGTAAGTTCTTTGCGAGACATGTCGAGGGGTTGAAGGATGGCGGTCAGTTTACCTTTTGCAGCTGAAAGTTGACCAACATGCTCAGCACAAACCTTCAACATCATGTTCACTCAGGTGCAGCTGTACAACTTCTTGTAAACAAGGCTGCTGTGCCAAAGTGAGGGATGCATCGTGCCCGGCCGGCTCAACTTTTTGTGTGCGCCAGTGGCAGACAGAAGTTGAAAGCGGCCAGAGCAAGACACTTCTTGAACATCGAGAAGGTTCACGTAAATGCTGGCTCAAGCAGCCGTTGACCCAGCGACGGATCAGTTCGTGCGGTGCTGAAACGCAAGCATGTTCCTGGAACGATGCGTGTAATCTTTCTCGCCTCATTGATCTGACCTGGGTGTGGCACATTGCCGTGCTGGAAGGTTGGTCACACACCCTTTCGTTGCGGGCCTATTTGACCAAAACGCATGTCTTTTCTGCTTGATGCGTTCAGTGTCATCTATGGAAACAAGTAGTTAATACCATTGAATGGAAGAGGTCCCAAAGACTCTTGCTTGCAGGCGCCTGCGCTCCTTGCATAATGGAGTTGGGCACGAACCTGGAATAAATCTAGAGGACAAAGGTAACCAAAGTGCCACTGCCAGGAGAAGGCGTGTCGCCGAAGAAGGGTTTAGACAAGGAGCGACGACGCTACCCTGACAGTTGGCCGGTAAGCCGAAGGATGCAATGCAAATCCAAATTAGACGGCATTTACGGAGACTGCTGTCTTGCCTCTGCAACCTTATCTTTTGTAATCGATTTCCATCGCTCGTTTCGTCAATCCCGTGCGTTGCAGTGACCAAACTGCCGTTGGCTTTTGCTGTGCTGCTGCTATCCACACGGCATGCGCTTGAATATTTCCGAGATGAATGTTGGACCCCTGATCATATCGTTCAATGCGGATATCAGCCTAGCCAGGCCCGAAACCCAAGTGCCAAATGCGGAAACACACAAGCAACACCGCCATTGAGCCGTGTTGCTGCATAGTTATCTTGATCTTATGGCTCAAAGCTGTCATCTGGGCCAGAAGGCCGTGCTACCCTGGGTCATATGCAGTTCTTGTGCGATTTGAGATTCTACTCAACACTGTTAGCATTGCAGCCAACCACCATGGCGTCTTGACATATTCTTGCCCGAAAATGGTGTCAATAAGATCACAGCGCAGTGTGATGTTTCTCTTCTTAAAGTTGCAGCAAGATTACGATCTTGTATGGCCCAAGCCTGCGCTGCAGTCAACCTACAGGTAGCTGTTTCCACACATGGAGACATCCCAATGTGGCTCATCATCACTGCCACAGATGGCGAGCCCTGCTACATCATGTAGATCACTTCCTCTTAATTAGGTTTTGCTTTGCATGCCATGGTTCTGTCGGGCTCTTCAGCTGCATTAGGGGGGGTGGGGCGTGGGATTGCTTGAGCCATTCCGAACATATTGTGGGAGTGCCCAAGGGCGAGCGGGCAGACACCGTGATGGAGAGGACCACCCGACCGAGCACGATATTTGATACCATATTGCGCTACTCTAAAGCATGTTCTGCGGCAGTATTCGCTCACTCTTTTTGCAACTGGCGGACTAACCAACCATCTCAATCAAATGCTCCCAGTACATCATGGTATGCAGGTATTCGGCTGTGAGCTTGGTGAAAGAGGTGCTTCGTGCGCAGGATGAGGAGTCGTGGGGTGCTTCCAAGGCCGAAGACGAAGGCTCGGGAGTCTCGTCGTTACAAGACTGACGCATGACATGGATGACTCAACAAGCACGGGAGAAGAGCGGCGTTTTGTCAAGACTGCTGGCCATTGTTTCAGATTGCGACTTTTTGAGCGTCTGCCCTCGAAGAAGAACCTTGCTGAGGCGAGTCTACTGAACGGCAGTCCGGGGTCGCCCCCAAGCAGGCCAGAGTCTGCCAGAGTGCTGGAGCTTGGGTTTTCCTGTGCTCGTTCAGCAACAGGTACACTTCAAACTCATGTCTCTGCTTTTAAGGGCCTAGGGAATATGGTTTTTGATTGCCTTGTAGAGGCTTGTTCCCAACAAACATGAGAAAATGGAGGGGTGGGTCGGAAAGGAGGGTGAACGGGGGCAAACAGCCCAAGACAGGACATATTAATATTAATTGACTCAAAGCCCCGAATTCCGGCGCTTCCGTTACTCGGTGCAATATTGGTTTATTTTGGTGTCTTATGCTCGAGCAAACGTCCAGAAACGATGCTGATGTACTCGGCTCGTGATCTTTTACTGTAATGTATATGTATGCCTAGCGAGATTTGATAAGCATGCACAGACACAGCAGCGAGGGCTTGCTGCTATCGATATGTGGATGGGTGTCAGCTTTTGTCCCTTCTGTTGTTGCAGGGCGAGCGCAGGAAGAAGTTCGCATCTCCGCTGGTTCCTTCGATGATGTTTTTGCTTCCAGTCCAGCAGCCTTTTGAATCAAACGACTGCCACCTGGTCTGGCTGTAGCATCCTGCATCCTTGAAATCCCAGGAAGATGACGACGGGAACGAGGACGGAGCAGATTGCATGTCATCCAGTGACCAGTGCCAGGAGTACGGATGTGTACATGAAATTGAGCAGTTGCACCTGTGTTCGGTTAGAGTCCCAAGAACGGAATCGAGAGCATGTTTCTCGATGTCGTGTTGTAGTTTTGTGCTTCTCTTTCTTGCCGAAGCATCGGCTGATGGCTGGGATAGAACATCTAGCTGCGCTTGCTTCGCCCTGCGCGGTTTAGAAGTCCTGATCATTCCTATCGGGGTGTCTTAAGCTTGCATAAATATTCCAAGGGGGCGGGTCGGCTACGTCTGGTTTTCGCAGAAGGATTTTGATGTTTTGCGCATATTACCAAGAGGATGTGTAGGGGCCGGGGGCAGGCGGCGTAATTCGCGAAACCATGGATCTGCAACGCGGGTCCACCCAGCGGCAACCCGGGTCCGAACTTGGTTCTTCTTCTTCTTCGGCCATTGCAGAATCCGTCTGGATGCTAGGTTCAGGATCTATGGGTTCAGGGGTTTAGGGTTTCTGGATTTACGGTTTCTAGGTTCAGGGCGTATGGGTTCAGAGGTTGAGGGTTAATGGGTTCAGGGGTTTAGGGTTTCTTGATGTAGGTTCAGGATCTATGGGTTCAGGGGTTTAGGGATTCTGGATTGTTCAGGGTTTAATGGGTTCAGGGGTTTACGGTTTCTGGATTTAGGTTGAGGGTGTATGGGTTGAGGGGGTTTAGGGTTTCTGCATTTAGGTTCTGGGTTCAGGGGTTTAGGGTTTCTGCATTTAGGTTCGGGGTGTATGGGTTCAGGGGTTTAGGGTTTCTTGATGTAGGTTCAGGATCTATGGGTTCAGGGGTTTAGGGTTTTATTGATTTAGGTTCAGGGTCTATGGGTTCAGGGGTTTAGGGTTCCTGGATTTAGTGTTCAGGGGTTTAGGGTTTCTTGATGTAGGTTCAGGATCTATGGGTTCAGGGGTTTAGGGTTTCTGGATTTAGGGTTTCTAGGTTCAGGGTGTATGGGTTCAGAGATTGAGGGTTAATGGGTTCAGGGGTGTAGGGTTTCTGGATCAGGTTGAGGGTGTTTGGGTTCAAAGGTTTAGGGATTCTGGATTGTTCAAGGTTTAATGGGTTCAGGGGTTTACGTTTTCTGGATTCAGGTTCAGGGTTTATGGGTTCAGGGGTTTAGGGTTTCTGCATTTAGGTTCGGGGTGTATGGGTTCAGGGGTTTAGGGTTTCTGCATTTAGGTTCGGGGTGTATGGGTTCAGGGGTTTAGGGTTTCTTGATGTAGGTTCAGGATCTATGGGTTCAGGGGTTTAGGGTTTCTAGGTTCAGGGTGTATGGGTTCAGAGGTTGAGGGTTAATGGGTTCAGGGGTTTAGGGTTTCTTGATGTAGGTTCAGGATCTATGGGTTCAAGGGTTTAGGGTGTTTTTTTGGGTGCAGGGTCTAGGGGTTTAGGGTTTCTGGAGATAGATTCAGTGTTTATGGGTTCAGGGGTTTGGGGTCTGGATTGTTCAGGGCTTATGGGTTCAGGGCTCAGGGGTTTAGGGTTTCTAGATTAGGTTCAGGGTTTGTGGGTTCGGGGGTTTAGGGTTTCTGGATTTAGGTTCAGTTTTTATAGATTCAGGGGTTTAGTGTTTCTGGATTTGTAGAGGTTTAGGGCTTAAGGTTCCTGGATTTAGGGTTTCTAGGTTCAGGGTCTAGCAGTTTAGGGTTTCTGGATTTAGGTTTCCGGGTTAAGGGTTTCCGAGCTCAGGGTTTCTGGGCTTAGGAGTTTGTAGAAACTGGGTGTGGGGTTCAGGGTTTCTGGGTCTGGGGTTTGGATTTTTCGAAATCCTAGACCGAAAGGCAGGCAAACGAACAAAAGCCCACGCACAAAATAGACCAGCAATGATGTCAAGCATACAACAAGCCCCACTCTCCCTGCCCCCTAAAGGACCAAGTTGCGTCCGGACCCGGTTGCGGACGTGGGTTGCGGCTTATCATTCTAAACCTCCCCAGGTCTTGGCATAACAATGTCCTTGCTCGGACTAGTTAAGAAGGTATTCGGAGGACCCCCCTAAGACCCTCCATTCCTGATCACTGTATCACTGTTCAAAGGCCTCGTCGTGGTGACGTTGATCATGTCCTTTCTTCGGTCCATTGCATGAGTTGGCCCGTTGGCCCTTAAGACACTTTGTGCATAGAGATGAAGCGGTGCATAAAGCCATTCATTATTGCGCTGATCAGCATGGCTGCACCTTCCTGCGAAACTGATGGACAGGCAGACTCCAACACTCAGACTGCTTCGCAGCAGTACCAGGCCCGTAACAGAACGTCCACCACGAGGCATCTTGTTGGTGGGCCAACCAGGCACTTCTGCAGATGCTCAGGAGAGAGCAGGAGGCTGGATGTTTGGGATGAAGTGGGTGGTCATTTGCCAAAGTGCCATCTCTGTGTTTGAGTGTGCCTCGCTCCTCGAAAGGCCGCTGACAGCCAGCTTCGGAATCTTCTGCAAGAGGTGCTGTCAGCATGAAGTGACACATGCTACCGCAGTTGACGCTCTGTTTGCACTTCGTCGAGTTGGGGTTATCTGATCCTGTGGTGCGGAGCTGATGGACGACGGAGTGGCAGAGTCCAGGAGTCGCTTCCATGAGCTGTTTCGTCAAATTCCTCATCCTAGACCTGCGAGTTTGTGATCGGAGGCTGCTCGAAAGCAGAATCAGCTTCACGAGCTGGGTGGTGAAGGTTCCGTAGCCCTGTCGGGTAGTGTGGTGGAAACTTGAGTGCAAGGTATTTTTTGCACCCCATACTCTCGTGTCACGAGGTGCGATCCTCAACATGCCCGAGGTGGGCCGGTCGAAGCGCATGGAGGGAGCATCTTCATGATTTCATTCACGGGGGCGAAAAGCGACTGGTGCCTTTGGCAGGTGTCCAAGCTTCCCACAATGGAAGGCAACACACGGGTTGCGTAGTCGTCGATCAGCTTCGAAAGTTTGGAGCGGTTTCTGCCAGGTTTGGCCACTGCTCTGCTCTCCTGGGCGGAAGGAGGCCTGGGATTTCAGAGCCCAGTAGGTGCTTGGAAGAGTATTTAACGACAGCGATGCTTCGGTCGCCGGGCTGAGTCCATGTGCTTTCAGGATCCAAGACAAGCCACGCGACGTCAGCGGTTGGACACCTACTTGTAATCTGCAGTCCTTGTCAAGCTCATGGGCGGGTTTTCTGCTGGATTTGCTAGCGTAAGAAGCACCGCAATGCGCCATGGGCTTCGGCTTTGCGAGGGGCAAGCATACCGTAGCATTTCTGCTCCAGTGGAGGACATGCGTTTTCAGTGATACAATGTTGTGTGACGTGATGTGGCATGATCTGCTCAGCTGAGAAGTAGACAGTGGTGTACCAGGCTCAGCATTCGGGCTTGTTCCCGACGAAGCTCTCGGACCCAAGACACGCAATGGCAGTTTGGAAGCCAGACGTGCTCTGCGATGGCGTGCTGGCAGCTCCGGGGCACATAAGACACGAGTATGCTCAAACCTCGAAATCGGATCAATTTGTTGACGACCTGGATTGTGGGAAGTCATTGTGGCAGACTCTGTGAAGCTCTCAGCTTGCCAAAGGCCTCCGCCCGCATGCAGTGGCTCGTGGAGAACCGGGGGCTGAATGAAGACGTCTCTTTGGCACGAACAGTTTGCCTTCGGATTTTGGGCTGACTGTCCGTTGCTGCGTTTCTGTGTTTACTTCTGCGCGCATCTCTTCGAGGCCGCGCAGGCACGAGTCATGAGTGCACCTCGGGCAAGACTTGGCGCACTCTTTGTGGCTGTCGTTTGATGTGGGATGGCACTTTCGAAGTCTAAGCAGTTCCGCCCGCATCTAAGCACTTAAGGAGTTTCCTGCCAGCTTTGGCGCTGGCCGACGCTGGAACCCTGACGAGAGTTGTGCCGGCGTGCGTGCCGAGGCCGGTGCTGGTCTGCAGTGTAACCGACGTTGGAGCGTTGCCACATTCCGAAGGATCGAGCCCGATGGCTTGCACAGAACCACGGCATGAGTGAGGTCGACGCGCAGAGGAAAGTGATGGAGGAATTCCCGCAGCTTTTCATCTTGACTCAGGAGCCTGCGCGGGAAGTAGGAGCTCTGCAGACAGCTTCTGGGACGAGACCCCCAATATTGGGATATGCCTGTGGCCAGGGGGAGCTACAAGGCAGTCCCGAAGCAAACCCCCCCAGCTGGCCAAGTTCTGTAAAGATTCTCAGCACGGCTTCGTGCTACGATGTGGTGGATCAGATCTACCAGGAAATGGCTCCGCTGGACAGCCAATTCTCCAGCAGCAGGTATGCCTTGCTATTTGAGGCATCGCCGAAAATGCACGATGTGGATGTCCGAGTTGGGTTTTACACCTCCGTCTACGGCTTGGGGAGAAAACCTTCGGATACGAAGATCCGCTCCGTCACGTCCACCAATGAGACGCCTCATCCCGAGCTCGGGCCACTCAGCGGCAACGGCGGCCGCGAGCCTCCGAGCCGAGCGGTCCTCTGCCTCCGCCTCTGCCTCCTCTGCTTCTCAGGTCCTTGCAGAACTTCTGGCGGAGCCTCGGCTTCCCATCTTTGCCACTGGCGTCAGCTCGGCCCAATTGTACATTTTTTTTCTGTGCCAAGGCCCCGCGGCCCCGCGGCTCGGGATGGCTCAGCTGGCTTGGCTTTTAACGATCTACGAGTCTGAATCCACTAAATAGCGAAAGCTAGAGCCGCGGCCGCACCACAACCAAAACTTCAGAACCTCGGGTAGATCTGCAGCCCAGAGGACAGGATGCGGATGCGAAGAGTTCATTATTTGCCACTTTAGCTGGGAAGACCCACGTGACACGTCGAAATCCGCCGGAGGGGAAGGATGAACATTGAAGCCTTTCAATTGTCCTTGCACCTCCGACGCGCTCCGGGGTTGAGGGTGCAGGTACGCCTGGCGGCTAGAGGTTGACGAGGATCCCTCCACCGTGCAGACTCGTAGTTGCCATTTTGGTCTTCGGGATCTGAGGAGTGCCGAAAACTTTCAGAGCAACTGCCATCCGACCTACACCTGCGGCGGCCGCGGTGGAATGCTCTGGGCCGTCTCGCAGGCTGCGCCTCTGCGGCGTGTCGTGGTGGACGACAACCTCTGCCTTTCGCACCTAAGCCTCGCAACAGCCGCAACCACCTTCTACGGCTAGACTCCGCTAGAGTTCGCTGGATGTTGCTGGAGTTTCAGGTACTTTCGCCTCCCTCCTGAGGGCGTGAAGGCAAGTGATCCTCGGCAGCAGACTGTAAACTGCACTGTCTGAACTGGCATATCAGCATCCTGAGCGTGTGCCCCGGCCTTCAGAATTTCTCAGCCGAATGCCAGTTTTCAACACGGGCTAAAATTCTGCAACATGGCGCATTCCTTGTCGAGGATCCCCGCTATCCGAAGCAAGGAGCCTGCCTTGAGTACGATACTCGGCCTGGCTCGGGCTTGGTCAAACTCGACGCTGAGTCACGGTTAGCCCAGGATGGATGGGTGAAGCTCGGGTATCGGGATCCAGTTGCAGATTTCGCCAGCAGAGCCCTAAGTTGGTGGGGCTATTTTACTCGCTGCTCGCCTCCAGTGTCTTTTTGACAACTGCAATGAAAGGCGGCGGATTCATGGCCAACGTGGAGGTTAGGGGGACGGTGAGCTTCGGCTCCCAGCAGCAGTTCTTTGCACGAAATTGCTCTGCCAAATCCTGGGATGGAGGTGCATATGCTGACTGCGCAAGAATGGCCGTGTTTGCTTCCCTTCACGCTGTTGCAGGGGCTTGGAGCTGTGTCTTCGTTGGGTGCTCTGGTGCTCCCCATCGTGAACAAGCGGAGGTGCGCAGTTTCATGCTTGTCCCTGGACAGCCCAGCATGCTCAGTCACTATATTACTATATGCTATCCAGGCAGCATCCAAATGCCCCATCTACACCAGTGTCGCCACGTCGCAGGCACAGTGTTTTGGTACTTGAATCTCATGATATCAAGCACTCGCTTTGCCAAACATGCGAGATGTGGTCGCAGCTGGTCAGCCTGCGTGCACCATACTCGGTTACTATACTTGTAACTCTGAGACGGAAAAGTGAAGTTTCAAAGTGTCAATGTCATGTGAGCCGTCTGTGCGCAACGATGTAGTGGCCGCCAGCAGTTAAGACGTCATGGGTTTGTCACATGGAGGTGATTGCAGAGAAGCCCTTCATCATCATGGAGAGCCTGGCTTGAAGTCCAGCTCAGAGCAGGGCAGTTTTTGTGGTTCCTCGTGCTTGGATGCTCACCACAGCATTGATAGGAACGACGGTCGCTACAAGCTGGTCGTTCCCTCCGCCATGACTGGCCGGAGCGGTACAAACTTCGAGGTTGCGGAGGCCCGACCAAATCTGTAAGCAACATCCTTGGCCTGGAAGCACCTCCACTGCATCAGGCTAACGGGTAGGACGCCGTGCAACAGCTGGTGAGGGTGTGCCGGTAGCAGATGGTGCGTTTTGCAGAGGAGGAAATCCGAGACTTCAGCGCAGTCTATGTGGCCCAGCCCTCGAAGCTTGCGGCTGCAGGTACTCGTGCGTCGTTGCTGTGACCTGACACTCTTGCTTTTCGTCTTTATGCAGCAAACAAGACAGGTCCCATGGTGTCCACATCGTTTCATTTTATCCTCAGTGTGGGTTTTGAGAAGACTTCTCCGTGCGAGGAACGGCGCTGCCGAAATCAACAAGAAATTGGCGGAGGGGAAGGATGTTGCTGCCTGACAGCACGAGAGTACAAGTTGGCCCAAGTCCCATATTTCCATGAGATGTAAGCCTTCCAGTTTCAGCTTGCACCGAACGAGAACTGGCTGCAGCACCTTCGAACAGGTATTTGCTCCAGGCATCTACAAGCTTGACGAGACGATACATGTACAAAGGAGCTGTCAGGCAGTTTGCATCAGTCTGGAGCATCTTTGACATGTTCTTTCTGCTGCGGCCGTCCGTGTGGATGTTCGCTGATCCTCTTGAGAGGTGCTGCTGGCTCTGGGCTTTGCGACCCTCGTGGCGCCGACAGATTCACCTTGCATCGTCGTCGCATGGCCAAATCTGCTAGTCTCTCATGAGCGTCCTCGTCCGGTTGTGATGACTCACTCGGCATGCATCGCACAGGTGCAGGATGGCGCCGTGGGTGTGCGCATTTCGGGAGTAATGCTGGAGGCCGGAGATAATGCCTTCCAGCATTTGACTTCGCTGTGAAATCTGCAGCATGTTTGTCACAAAGCTGAAGCGCGTCGCAACTTTCCTTGTGGACATCCCCCGAAGCAGCCGAAAGCAGAACAGACGTACAGTGCTTTGGATGCCTTGAGGCTGCCTACCGTCCGCTGGAAGCATCGTCGACTGAAAGCACTTCAACAGGACCGAAGGCAGGTGGACGGAGTTGGTTGCTGAGTTGTTCCCAGAAAGAGGCACGTTTGAAGTGGTAAGTACTCTGTCATCGCTTGTGGCAGTGTGGGAGGCATTGCTTCAGTGGGGCTGTGGCAAGGATGCGCGAAGCGACTCGGCTCACATGTAGGCATGCCATGCATGTATGCATCCACCGGTTCATGTGTCCGTGGCCCACAAACACATTCGCACGCACACGCACACGCACACACGCACACGCACACGGACACAGACACACAGACACACAGACGCACAGACACACAGGCACACACAGGCACACACAGGCACACACACACAGGCACACACACAGGCACACACAGGCACACACAGGCACACACAGGCACACACAGGCACACACAGGCACACACAGGCACACACAGGCACACACACACACAGACGCGCGCACACACACACACACACATACACCCACACACAGAAACACACACACACAGACACACACATACACACACACAGACACACAGACACACGCGCACAGAGACACACACAGAGACACACACAGAGACACACACAGAGACACACACAGAGACACACACACAGAGACACACACACACACACACAGACACACTCGGAGACACACACACACACACAGACACACACACAGAGACACACTCGGAGACACACACAGAGACACACACAGAGACACACACAGAGACACACACAGAGACACACACAGAGACACACACAGAGACACACACACACACAGACACACACAGACACACACAGACACACACAGACACACACACACACACACACAGACACACACACACACACACACACAGACACACACAGACACACACACACACAGACACACACAGACACGCACACAGACACACACAGACACACACAGACACACACAGACACGCACAGACACGCACAGACACACACAGACACACACAGACACACACACAGACACACACACAGACACACCCCCACACCCACACCCACACCGACACCCACACCCACACCCACACCCAAAACCAAACCCACACCGACACCCACACCGACACCCACACCCACACCCACACTGACACCCACACCCACACCCACACCCACACCCGCACCCACACGCACACGCACACGCATAGGCACACGCACACATGCTCGCATGATTGGTTCATCGCTTGCCTGATTGGTTGAAGAATAAATTGAAAGCCTTGCCAAAAAGACAGACAGATGAGAAGGACAAACTCACTAATGGACCGATAGACAGGACAGACAGGCCGGTACATGTGCATGTTGTTGGGCTGACGAGAGGCGATCCGACGGTGCCCGCATCCTGGGGCTTTCTGCACGACTGTTTCGCTCGTGTCGGCGGCCAGGAGGCCAGCAGTGTGAAGAACTGCACCCAGAGTACGTGCAGGACCTGTAGGCTTGATCTCCGGTTGTTGCATGCCTTCCCAGGCGCCATTCACTGTTCGTGATGAACTTGATCCCACCAGGCACATCAGCATAGTAGTAGCTGAACTTGCTGCAGTAAAGCTTCCTCGAAGCTGACGTAAACACATCTGAGGCACAATGGAGGTTAAAAGGATGGAGTTCATCAGCTCTACACTTCTGCAAAAATTGCCGTCAATGCAAAACCACCGAGGAAACCAACGATGCGACCGGACAGCAGCCGCGCCCTCTTCCAGTCTGAAGCTCGCTGCAGTGGCTTGGATGCACTTATGGCTGATATGCTTCTGCGTCAGGCACCTTGATAGTCATATTTCCAAAGTGGATGTCTGGACCTGCACACTCAATTGCTCGGCTGAAAACATGCCGACTACAAGACTATCATCATTTAAAGCTCTCTGAAGGCACCATGGTTCAGATTCAATCGCCCTGTGTGGTGGGTGCAGCTTGACAAAGATTATGTGACCTACGAGGTTGTTTTGTTGAGCGTGTGGGCTCAGGACAACTTGTGGCTCTGGCGTGCAGACCACTGGCTGAGCGATCGATACCTGGTCTACAACCATGCACCTCGGAGAGCAAGGGCACATGAGGCACATGTCATCATTCTCTTGCTAAGTTCAATTTGGAACATCTGCCAAGGAGAACCGATGCGAGACCGGGCTGCATGTTGGGCCCGATGCAAGATACGTGCCGCCCTGAGTGTCCTCACGTTGGACTTATTGACGCGAGTTCGATTTCTGTTTTCTCTGTCTGTCTCTCAGGTTACGATGTACGGTCTTTTCGTAGAGCACACCTTGGGTGACATGACGTACTGGGAAGGACTGGCCATGGAATTGTTCATGCGTGTCCACATGCATCACATTGCAACCCCAACCAGCCAGGGAGCCCCTAAAGTAGCAAGGCGAAGCCAGATGAAAACAGAAGGTGTGTGTTGTCCGATCGTCGCTGGACCTGAGGGAAGGCTGGAGCCCGATGTAGGGTGTCCGTGTTGGACGCTAGAATACCAAGTCTCAAGATGTGAAGAAAGCTGTGGGCATGCTGGCTGCAGGAGAGGATGGCACCACCTTCTTCTATCAATCGGAGCTGCCATATGATGCCATGGATGTCCCAAGCTAAGAGGGTTGGCTTGATACGGACGAGCGTCTCGTTGTCGAATGCTTTCAATTTACAAATGGCCTTCTTCTGCTTCGAGGCTGATGCTGCCAGCAAGGTCTCGACGACGCCGTTCTCTGGTTCCGGGTATCCCGCAAGCGATCGGCTTATCTCCGTACTTGTTCTTTCTTAGTGCACCTGCATGAAACTAAATCGAGTGGAGCAAATCAAGCACAAGCGATGAAGAACAAGGGCGTCATGGGCTGTGTGGACACGCGCTCACTCGTGTCAGTCAGTTCACAGTAGTAGATCCCCTGAAGGTATCGCGTGGCGGATTCTGTGCAGCGCCACACCGCACATGGTGCCCGAATCAGATTCGGGGTAGAGCTTCATTGGGATTGTGCTCCGTGAGCCGTGCTCAACCCGATCATTGTCCCAAGCTGCAGGTGTTGGGGTCTACTGCTACTTTCGGGACTACGACATCATTGTCCCAGCTGGCATCAGAACACCAGATGGCGTTACTTTGCCTTGACCCACTTTCCGACATGTCTGTTCCCGTGTGCGCAGCTTGTGTAGAGATGGCAAAGCAGAGCGCGAAAGCCTTAGATGGCTGTAGCAGTCAGCGAGACGAGACCTCAACTGTTCATGCCTCGACGTGAGGAAGGAATCAAGTTCCGGCATCTTGTCTTGAAGGGTTGGAGTGCTGTAGAACTGGCAATGACATTGCAGACGGAACGCTTTCGATGCTTCCTGCATCCTGTAGAATCAGGCACACATGAATTGGCAACACGAGCGAGGGACACTAGCGCGACCGGTTATCCACGCTGAGAGTCTCAGGAATGCTTTCACAAAGTGGCTCAACGGCGGTCCAAAAGTGTTTGCACCCGAGTTGCATCCTCAGCAACCAGGCCCACTGAATAGCGAGTTGCGCCGTTGCGTACAGAGTTGCCATGTCATGGCATGTTGCTATGACAAAGGTCATGCTTGCTCGTCTGTGAGAAGAAGTACGGGTGCATTCAGTGCGGCTTGCCGGCTGTGTGATACTGCGAGGTTATCACCACTGTTGTGATTGTAACTGTGATTGCAGCATGCATGATTCAGTTGAATTTTTGCAGCTTCGCTGCAGCCCACGTGTCGAGTATGACAGCGTGCCCCTTGTGCATTCAGCTGTAGAATCTGAGAAGCTGCGCGAGAGGTGTCCTTCAGAAGGGCTCTCGCCGCCTGGGTCCGTCCACAGATAGTAACAAGGACAGGTGGAGCATTTGGATGTTCTCTGCACCCTGGTTGCTCTGCTATCTGCCGACCAAGCATAATTGAACGCTCAAGAGCCCCCTGCCATCCAAAGGACAAGCCCCACTTTGTCAGCGGGTGAGGCGCAGGCCTGAAACGAATGACAGACATGTCTGGCCTCCACTTCGAAAGCGCATCAAATGTGTGCTTGCATTGGCCAGGTGGTCGTACGGGTCAGGGTTCGTGATTGGCGACTCTGCTGGTGGATGGCAGTCCCTGTAAACATGCAAATCGATTCTTGTACAGTGAAGGAATTCATGTTGCAGCCAGGGTTTCAGGAAACCTCAAGAAGATGGCCTTGAACAGATGCGAAGCGGCTTGCAGAGGCTTCTTGCTTTTGTATGGAATCCAACAGAGCTCGTGTCCAAACCATGCACAGCCGCTGTCGAAAGACGAATGCCTCTGCCACACCGGGCATGCATATCTGAGAGTGGTGTACAGAGTCGATTGAAAGTTGCGCGTGGCTTCCAGTGCACTTTGGCCTACAGGCTTGTTCATTTCGTGGGGCTTCCAAAGTCGGCTCTGCTAGCGCTTGTTGTAAACCTTGGCTTGTCACACCTTGTCCATGTATCTGTCAATCTGAGTCTGTTGGAGTTATGTGCAGCATGTTCAACCAGTTTCCACGCTACCAGCAATTCCCACAAAGGCCGCAGAGGAGGATGGCAGTCGACCGCTTTCTCCCAAGGAGGCAAAAGCTGTGGAAGCTCAGGTTTTAGCTGACACTGCCAAGCTCGCTTCTAGTTCTAGCTTAGAGGGAGATGCTGATCGAATGCGGGGGAGCCGAAGGTCCATCTGCAGGCACGCTTGACAGAGGCCAGCTTCCGTGGTTGCATTTTGCAAGTAAGTCAGAAGCTAAAGCAGCAGGCAGCAGCATATTCAGGGAGCGCTTTGACTTGGTGCCACTCGCATGGAGGCAGAAGAAGCACAGGCGCAGATGGAGGCTGCTGAACTGGGCCAAGACTGGAGGGCCGAGCCGTGGGGATTGTAAGCAGGCAGAGACTGCGAAGCTCTTAGAGACCGCAGAGAGCGACAAAGTCGTGCCCAGCCCCAGCAATCTGTGCTAAAGAAGCGCACGACCCAAGTGATGATTGAGGCCTTCGGCCACGAGCTTCGGGCACTGCAACGGAGTGTCCGCTCAGAGCTAGATGTGCCGCTCCAAGTGCCCGAAGCCACGAGGCCCTTTTCCCGCGTAGTAGCTTTGCTGTCCTAGGCTTCCTCAGACACGGCATTGCCTTCGGCACGCCAGGCCACCTCCACGAACCTGCGGTAGCATGCGGTAGCTGGTAGCATGCACAGTTCTCCGGTCCAGGCCCGCCTGGCAGCACAGCTGGGCGAGATGCGGATCGAGCGCGAGCAGGTGTGTTTGCAGTGCAGCTCTTCTCTTAGAGGCCTTGAGACACATACCCCCTTCGTCAGTGCAAGGCAGTTATGTTTGTGTATGCAGTCTTACATAGTTCTTCCCTTTTCCGACAAGAGGAGGTAAGCACGTAGGTAGATTTTCCTTGGGGGTTTGAGCTTGTATGTCAGCATGCGATGCATCCAATATCCGTCCTGTAAAGACATATCCTGAACCGTGTGTGTACATGATTGTGGTAGCTGCAGCGGCACCGCCGTTGATGTAGTAACTATAGCAGCAGTCGCCGTCGTAGTCGTCGTAACAGTCGAAATCGTCGTAATCGTCACCATGGTCGTAGTAGGCGTAGAGTAATAGTCGAAATGGTCGCAGTCGTAGCATTAGTCGTCGTCGTCGACACTGTCTAACTAGCAGCGGTGGTCCAGCGGTAACAAAGAAGCCCAAAATAACACAGCAGTTGAAGCTAAAGTGCACGTGCAACCCATGTCATCGGCGCATGAGATCATCACTGCCATGTCTCGTCACTAGTCTCCATCAAAGCAAAGGCAACGACGTCAGAGCACCAATGACCCGAGCATGCGATTGCGCCAGGCCGTCCAAGAGTTACGTGCGGTGCAGGGCCGCGAGGCCGAGCTCAGAAAGGCACCCCTTGAAGCTTCGCATCGCCACGTTGCCCCTTCGCATCTTCTTTGCTACTGGAAGGACCTGGAGTCTGGGCGCCGTGAGCTGAAGAAAGCTCGAGAGGCGTGTCGGAGCCGCGCGGGAACACGTTGAAAGCCGACGGAGTGTATGTTGTGAGACTGTCTCGCTGTAGCCGGCGAACCCCTTGTTCGATACGAGCGGGATGTTGTTCGGAGGCCCATCAGATCGAAGTGGACCTGTTGGCCGCAGAGCTGCAGCAGTTTCAGGCTGCTGCGGTTCCACTTTGGGGCCTTCTGCTAGCTATGCCGTCTTCCCTCTCTGCACCAGGACGAGCAGTGGCAGCTCGAAGGGAAGCTCAGGAACTGTGAGGCTCACGGCACGCGAGCGCTTGGTGTGCTTGCTTCAGAGAAGCGACGCTGGGCCTTGAGGCACAAGAGCCCATTCTGCGCGCACGTGCAGAAGAAGCTCAAGCTCAGGTCTTGGAGGAGTGCTGGGAAGACCCCTATCGCGCGCGGTTCCTCTCGGAGATTCGTATTACAATCTGATCTATCCATTGATCAACTACTAGTAACTACTTGTAGTAGTGGGTTTTGTATATATCGCTTGTTACTTTATTCTATTGTTTTCCTTGTTTTGCTACTGCTCGCCTTCTACTGCTTCCACTCTGCCTGCAGTGCACTCGACAGGAGTCGCGCATCGGCCGGCGCTCACTTCAGCGGCAGCTGCGCACCTTCGAGGCTGCAAAGTGCTCTACTACTTGCAAAAAATGGATGCAAGCAGCGGTCAGAAATGCGACTTTCGCTCTCGGATATAATTCCACGAACTGAGGCGCGGGAGCGAGAGACCGAGCTGGTCGTCGGCTTATCGGTCCTAGGTGACCTGTCCACGTGACGTGGACATTCAGATACTGAGACGGTTCCAGTGACATGCATGTCCCGCCGCGTTTGCTTGAAAGATCCGTCTGAGGCTGCCGAGCAGTCCCGCCAAGAGCAGCAGCACCTTGTTGCAGAGTTGGCGGATGTGGAGGCACACGGCCCGCGGTTCCAACGATTCCTTGCCTTGTACTTACCATTTGACGCATCCTTTCTTCGGTTTTCAGGCAAAGTTGGTCGCAAGGCTCTCAGAAGTTTTCTAAGTGCTTCCGACCTCCACGGGGCGAGCCATGGGTTATGTTAGATCAGGTCACCAAGGAGCAACTGCAGAAGGCTGGCAACTTGGAGCTTGATGACCGGGGTTCACCGGACGGGACAGCGAATCTGTTTTGATCGCTTTCGCGAATCTAGGCACCTTGAGTATTTTCCGCAACGGAAACACGCACACCCCAAGAGAAACTTGTAACACGAACAGGCCCCCGGATCATACCGCCAACCCGGTGGTTCCTGTAACAGCGCGAGGGCAGCCCCTTGGAACACGAACCGAGGCCTTTGGCATCAAGAATCAGGGCTTCGGGTTACATGGTTTAGGGCTGTTTAGGGTTGAGGGTTTAGGGTTTGGAGTTTTGGGTTGAGGTTTAGGGTGTATCGGGTTTAGGGTTTAGGGCTTTGGGGTTCAGGGACTTTACTTTGGTGACAAACACATACACACATGAACGTAGCTGTAATTCGTTCAATCTTTCATGCATTGCTTAGAACCTATGAGATCACAAGAAATGCAAACTCTGCGACCACTGTCAGCTGCGTGCCTGACTGCCTGTCTGTCCGCTTGCATTGGTTCTGTGTCCCGGGTGAGTATCCATGTGTCAGCACACGCACGTGTGTGTGTGTGTGTGTGTCTGCATGTCCCAATGCATCCATGACATCTTTAGCTGTTCCTACAGGCGCGCCTCTGGGGACCGGTTTTCGGTCCCCTGTTATGCCAACATAAAAGCCTCCTGCCCACGCCTTGCTTGTTTCCGATGGCAGTTCCTGTTCCTGTGGTCGTTCGTGTTATAGGCAGGTCGATACTGATCGCCTAGTTGTCGGTACCACGGCTGCACGTTTCCGTTACGGGATCCGTTTCCGTTGCTCCCCAAAGTGGTTCCCGTTACTCCCCGCACCCTGGGCACTTGCAGCAATCTATGGCTCAGTAAGCAGGCTCAGCAGATACGAATGTCAACCCAGCTGGGATGTTTCGCGGCGGGATTCGAACCCCCGCTGTGAGTGGGAATGAATGGATGGAGTGCACGGAGACGGTGGGCGTTTCGCTGGTGCCAGGCCCGTGAGGACAAACTCTCGGACCGGCAGCGCCTGGAGCGGCAGCCGCGGGCCGAGCCGAGAAGTCGCTCGCGACAGTCGAAGACAGGGCTCGACCGATGAAGATCACTTCCGCAGAAAGGTTAGACAAGTTTCGCAACGAGCTTGGGGAGCAGCGTCAACTGCGCGAGGCAGGCTTCGTGCACTTGTTTCTAGGGTGCCGATATACTGCGAGTTTGCTTGGCAATTAGATTCTCTTAGGTTTGCAGCTCTTGACGACTATCAAGAAGTGGCAGCAGTCGCGTCATTATCAGACCCCCCAAGTGCTCGGCACCGAGGCGGTGGAGAAAGAAAAGACTTACGTAGAGTTGGGTGGAAACCGGCAGCATCAAGCAGGGTCCTCGGCCGTGATTCGCGTTTTGGAAGTTTGCTTGTTTGGAGACCTATGGTGAACGCAGATCAGGAGCACACTGCTCAGATTCGAATCTTGCGATCGACTTCGAAGCAACTCACTGCGTGTTTCTCAGAGACATGGTCTGCACGGTGTACCCGTACATCTGGCCCAGTATGGCCGAGCTGCAAGGCGCGCCTTGACTGTCTGGAGTCTTCAAGAGACTTGGACCCTACTCTGGGAGCTTTTGACCTGAATGCCTTTTCTGCGGGGCTGTGCCCTGGCTACCCGTCCCGAGGCGAGTCTCAGCAACGCGACCATGCAGCCTCGGAGGTGCAGCAAGGGCTCGGGAGGTTTCTTCAGGATATTCTGAGATATTGATGACTTTTGAAACCTTTCTCAGGGAGTTCAGATGCACAAAGAAATCCAGTATGAAGATTCAGCCAGCATGGGCTGGTACTTGGGATTTCTGTTGGGCAATTCCGCAGATACTGTCGCCGTTTGTCCTCACGCGACCAAGGCGGAAGCCGCGAGGCACAGAGAATCCTTGGAGGCCGCGATGCAGCGAACGGCACATGACTTCCGCCTCCTGTTTCTGGAGTCTCTTGTGCGGCAGTGTGATCGGAGGAACGAGCCCAGGCAGCCGAAACCTGGGGTCAGGCCAGCTGCACGAGCTTTGTCAAAACTTTCTGAGCGCGGTCCCGAAAAGGAGCTTGCACGCCGGCTTCAGGAGGCTGAGGACCAAGGGCAAAGAAGAGTGGCGCTTGTCACCTGGACCTGTCGTGCGCACAAGCCGGCCTGAATCATTCATGCATGGAGCGCCAGGAAGTTGAGGTAGCAGGTGCAACACATAGCAACAACCTTTCGGTGCATCGCAGGATCGTCATCGCCAGCTCAGCGACGAAAAGGAGGCGAGGAGCTAAAGCAACATTTGGGGCAGCAGGTTAGCTGAGTCATGCTGAGTCCGATGGGAGCGGCATCTGTCAGGCGCACCACCGGCAAAGCCATGGCCACATTACTGAGGCTCGACCGTGAGAGGGGGCAGCAGACAGCTGTTCAAGAATACGTTCACATGCAAGGCGCACTCCTTCATGTCTCGGCTTCTGCAAGCTCTTGGGCACAAGGCAGGCCGTCGTGAAGGGGCCCCCGAATCCAGTGGTCCCAGCTGCGTGAGAATGCTTTTCTTGTGTTAATCGAAAGGGTAAGACTTGGCCAAAGCCTGGACAGGCAGACGAGCTAGTCGCCTTTGTATCTGGCCACTGTCACGCTTCCGAAGAGGCCTGGAACTTGTGAAACCGGACTAGCTTAACATCACAGACACTGTGTTCGGTGATAGGGATATGCTCACCCTCATCCATGTTCTGCCGAGGAAATGCGCACCTGCGTCGAGCTGGAGCACCTGAAAGCATCAGGTGAATCACCCGAGGCATCCTGCCTGACAAGCGGAAATCAGCAGGATCGAAAAGACCCAGACGAATCCTTTTGCGCGAGTGGCCCCGAATGGTGTGTGATTGCAATCGTAATGACAATGGTACAGTTATCAACGAAAACATACACACACATACATCGAACTGCCACTGCTACAGCGACCACCACCCCACCACCCCACCACCCCACCACCCCACCACCCCACCACCCCACCACCCCACCACCCCACCACCCCACCACCCCACCACCACCACCACCACCAGCACCACCAGCACCACCAGCACCACCAGCACCACCAGCACCACCAGCACCACCAGCACCACCAGCACCACCAGCACCACCAGCACCACCAGCACCACCAGCACCACCAGCACCAGCACCAGCACCAGCACCAGCACCAGCACCAGCACCACACCAGCACCAGCACCACCACCAGCACCACCACCACCACCAGCACCACCCACCACCACCAGCACCACCACCACCACCAGCACCACACCACCAGCACCACCCACCACCACCTCACCACCACCACCACCACCACCACCACAACACCACCACCACCACAACACCACCACCACCACCACCACAACACCACCACAACACCACCACCACCACACCACCACCACCACCACCACCACCACCACCACCACCACCACCACCACCACCACCACCACCACCACCACCACCACCACCACCACCACCACCACCAACGCTACCGCTAACACTACCTGTACCACTCACTACCTCTACCACCACCACCACCACCGCCGCCGCCGCCGCCGCCGCCAAAATCGCCGCCGCCACCACCACCACAGCCGCCGCCACCACCACTACCACCACCACCGCCACCACCGCCACCACCACCACCACCACCACCACGACCACCACCACCGCCACCGCCACCGCCACCGCCCGCCACCCGCCACCACCGCCACCACCGCCACCACCGCCACACCGCCACCCGCCACCACCGCCACCACCGCCACCACCGCCACCACCGCCACCACCGCCACCACCGCCACCACCGCCACCACCGCCACCACCGCCACCACCGCCACCACCGCCACCACCGCCACCACCGCCACTGCCACTGCCACTGCCACTGCCGCTGCTACCAGCACTGCTTCTACGAGTGCTACTGCTGCTACTACTGCTACTACTACTACTACTACTACTACTACTACTACTACTACTCCTACTCCTACTCCTACTCCTACTCCTACTCCTACTCCTACTCCTACCCCTACTCCTACTCCTACTCCTACTCCTACTCCTACTCCTACTCCTACTCCTACTCCTACTCCTACTCCTACTCCTACTCCTACTCCTACTCCTACTCCTACTCCTACTCCTACTCCTACTCCTACTGCTGCTGCTACTACTACTGCCGTTGCTACTGCTACTGCTAATGCTACTGCTACTGCTGCTGCTGCTACTGCTGCTGCTGCTGCTGCTACTGCTACTCCTATGTAGTACTAGTACTACTTCTACGTCTACTTCTACTTCTACTACTACCACTACTGCTACGACGACGACGACGACTACTACCACCAGTACTGCTACCGCCACTACTACATGCTGGGAGTTTAACTACTACTACTACTACTACTACTACTACTACTACCACCACTACTACGTGCTCGGAATTTAGAGCCGGTCAGTGTTGCTTGGCCATCTAGGTGGGGGGCAAGATAGTACGCAATCTTGGTAATCTTGAAATCTTGCGGGTTGCAAGATTGCCGGTCAATGCAGTCAACGTTGCCAAACTTGAAGACTTGAAATCTTGAATAGTTGTTTCCGCTTAGGGGCGAGCGCATGGGAATCTTGTAATCTTGCACAGGGTTTAGGGTTTTGGGTTTAGGTGTTTAGGGTTTAGGTTTAGGGCCGGGTTTAGTGTTTAGGGGTGAAGGGGTTTCGGGGATAGCAAAAACGAGCAAGATTACACACAAGATTTTGCCCGAACCCCCCCTCCCCCTATCGCAACCACCCACCACCAAGCTGGGCAAGCCTGCATGCCAATCCTGCCCCCCCCCCCCCCCCCCCCCAACGCCGAGCAAGCTGGCGTACCATTGACCCCTCAAAAATTTTTTGAAAAGCAACATGGGCAAGTTTGTACGCCAATCTTTCCCCAAGATCGGCTCTGCTGCGGCTGCTGCTACTGCTGCTGCTACTCCTGCTTCTACTCTCACTCCCACTCCTCCTACTACTGCTACTGCTTCTGCTGGTGCTGCTCCTCCTCCTCCTCCTACTGCTGCTACTGCTACTGCTACTCCTCCTACTCCTACCCCTAATACTGCTATTGCCACTGCTACTACTCCCACTCCTACTACCCCTGCTCCTGCTCCCACTCCTACTCCTACTCGTGCTCCTACCACTACTCCTACTCCTACTCCTGCTCCTACTCCTACTCCTACTCCTCCTACTCCTACTGATACTACTACGACTACCATAGTTGCTGCTATTACTACTGCTACTACTACTACTATACTACTACTACTACTACTACTACTACTACTACTACTACTACTACTACTACTACTACTACTACTACTACTACTACTACTACTACTACTACTACTACTACTACTACTACTAGGGGGTGGCAATCATGTGTCGGGCACGAAGGTTGTTAAAATACCACTCTGTCCGCTCTGCAGCGGCAGCCGAGTGGAGGAGTTCGTATACCTTCCGGTTCGGGCCCGGCACCACACGGTCCAGGTCTTTTTGCCGATACATAACTGCCAAGGCAGCCAGTGAGTGAGACCACTCAGACCGTTCGAAAAACGGAACGGACACATTCCAAATTTTCGAGAATGGCTGTAGCTTTCTTTAGCGGCATGCTCCGATCCTCAATGTGTAAGTGAGCCTTCTCTTCCTCACGTGTTAGAGGCTTGCAGTTATCGCCATTGAAAAATAGTACCCCACGTGGTTTCAGTGCAGCGCTGCGCGCGGAATAACAACACGACAACAACATCAACTACGACGACGACTGCTTCTACCACCGTACTACCACCGCTAGTAGCACCCCCACCACCCCCACCACCACCACCCCCACCACCCCCGCCACGACCAGCACGACCACCACCGCCATCACCGCCACCACCATCATCTTCGCCACCACCGCCACCACCACCACTATCAGTACCAGTACTACTACCAGTACCACGGGGAGTAGAGGATTTCTGACAACGGTGCCTTGATTCGGAGCGAGTTGGGGACAAGCAAGCAGGCCGATTCAGAAACACAGGCCGCCGATTCAGAAAATTGATTCGGAAGGCACCAACGACAGATTCAGAAAACAGCGACGAATCATGCTACTACCGCTGCTGCTGCTAGTTTGGCCGCTGTGGCCAGCGTTGCAGAGACAGAAGCATATTGGGGTTTGCCAACCAACATGTCATTGTTTTCGGTTTGGGGATTTGCGACCACGATTTTCTGTTAGTGTTTGGGGTTTGCCAGGCAGCATCATCTCGTTTTAGAGTTTAGGGTTTGTCAAACAACATCTCCTTTTGGGACATGGCAACCAATATCTCCTAAGAAGGTGTTTGCCAACCAACTGCTTTGTCTTGTGTTTCGGGCTTGCCAGCAAAAATATCCTTGTTCGGATTGAGGTTTCGCAGCCTAGCATTCAGGGTTTGCCACCCAGCACAACTAGTACAATGTAGCGCGGAGTATAGCCTCGTTTTTGTTTTCCTGAATCGCTGGCAATCCGACTTCGTCCAACGTGCTCTCCGAAAAGGTTTTCGTGAACTTTTGCGATTTGGTCCTGCTTGTTTTTGAATTTGTTTTCGGAATTTGTTCGAATCCCACTGCCGTAGGCTTCGTAGTTCAATCAACCTCGACTCGCCACCCAATCATCGAACGAAAACAGCCCAAAGTCAAGATCTCACAGATTCAAACTTAAAGCCCGAGCAAATGCGGCGAGGCACTGGTTACTCGTGCTTTTGCCGGGCTGTCGCAGACTCTGGCCTTGCTTGCGCGGGAGCCGCGGTCTTAGAAGTGCTCTCGGTGACTTGTGCCACAAAGCAACTCCGCTGAAGCAAGCTCACAAGCTAGCTGTGCAGAGGAACACCGAGCTGCGGGCAGGCGCTGGAACACCAACTAGTGCGACCGTGAGGCACGTGGTTCCCTGGCAGGTCGCATGTAAAGGCTTGAAATCCGTCTTCAACATGTCGAATCGCTCCAGACCTCGAGGCGGCGAGCTGCGGCGGCCAATGCGACAGATGCGAAAACCTAAGAGACGGACAGCAGAGGCCCTCTGTCGAAGTCCCCGGCCCGAGGTCACCGTCAGTGAGGTGCAGGCCAAGATGGCTGGCCTCCAAAAGGAGCTCATCAAGCTCGGTGCTCAGGGCTCAGGGCATTTCAGTCGGTTGAGACCTCGGTACGTTAGGTATCAGGTATCATACACTTGGGAAGAGTGCCTGAGTCAGAGTGTTTGTGTTTGCTGGAGCAGGTTTGTTATCTTTGACATTCCGGGCAGGGTTCAGCTGAAGTAAGAAACCCTGCCACCTAACTTGCAGAGAAGGGTGTCAGTATGGCTCGACCAGTTTTGTCCGGCTCTTGTCATGCTTAGTTATCTTAATTGGATTTGGCGGACTCCACCGAGGCTGCGCGAGCACAACCAGGAAGGGAGTTGAGATCTTGTGTCCTGTGTTGTGTGTTGTCGTTGTCGATCAACTGTTTGCCTTCCTCCTTCCGGTGACTCACATGATTTGACCGATTCCTCGCACACTTCGGAGGATCTCGAGCTGGAGCGGAATCAGCTCCTTAGCGGTGCGCTCAAGTTCCGCGTAGAGAGACCTTATATGGAGAAAGATAGGGAGACAGTGGACAGGTTGCGAGCCCATCTAGTTCGCCTTTGCTTGAGCACCCCTTGCCGATTTCAAGGCAGCTCAGGGAATGGCTCGGCGTCCCAGGAGGCTGAGGCATCCCACTCGAAACGTGAGCTGCATGAGAAGATGGCTTTGCAGTGTGGTCACGAGCGAACGTAGCTCTTGTGAACATGTCGTATCTTGGGGCATGATAATTTAGTCAGTGGCTCCGTTCCCGGCAGATGTCCAAGAGTGCCTGTCAGGCAGCTCTCGCAGACATGAAGCAGCGAATGAAATCGCTCTCCCAGGCAAGCCCCAGGGCAAGAGTGCCGGCTACATGGAAAGCCCCAGCTGTTCATGTGGTGAGATGTTCTTTGTCCTGATGCTTTCCGCCTGCGCAAAAAGCCATTCTTTCGACGTGACCCCGTCAGGCAAAGCGCCGTGCAGAAGAGCGTGTTGAGGAACACCAGCAGGCTGCAGAAGTTGTTTTCGTTACGCGCTTGGCGTTTATGGGGAGGACAAACAGCAAGTGTTGACACTTGTTTCGGTGACTTGGGCTCGGCTGCAGCTCGATTTTAGCGGTGCTTTGCGCAAGCTCGGAAGCCGCCACGGCTGACTTCAGTCTGTAATCAGCTCAGACAGCAACAGTGACGGCTTTGATGTTGCGTTTGTAGCACAATCACTCTTCGCGGCTGCTGACCGCATACGCATGCAAAAGCGAGCACGGCGGCTGGTTGTGCTAGCACTGAAGCGGGCAAAGGCATTCAAGTTAAGTTGCAAGACGTTTCTGACAGTACCTTCATGTGCCCTTAGTCCTTGCGTCCGGCCTGAACATCTATCTGAATGGCTGCATGTTGTCGCTTCACTGACTGAGGAGTGCCAGACCGGAATGAAAGATGTGCAAAGGAAAGTTGAGAAATGCTAGATTGCTAGATAACATGGTTCTATGTGTAGCGTTTCCAACAGGCTCGCGTCATTGAGTTATCATCTTCGACGTTCGTTTGTTTGCCAGGAAATCACTCGCCAAGCCCGGGCACATCAGGCAGACTTGGAAAGGTGCCTGACATGTCCACCCCCCTTGCTTGCAGTTTCCTGTAGAAGGCTGCAGGACAGCACAGATGTGTGAACTCTGTCGACGGAGTAGGTCTACAGTGTTGTGGGTTCGTCGCACTAGTTATGGGCTTGTGGAAAGCGAAGAGCCCGAGCAGGTTGCAGCTCGACATCGCCACGCAGCAGCAACATCAGCTGGAAGAGAAGGCTGTGCCGAGCAGGGAAGGTTTTCTGTAGAAGGCGAGCAGAGTGAATTCAGAATCTCGGACGACTGGCACTAGCATCGTGCAAATAAGTTCATGTCCGTGGTCTCGCCTGAACTATTTGGCCACGGACGTCTCATCACGTGGCCAGGATCATCTCAAAGGAAAGCTTTCTGGTTGCGAGCGGCGCATCAGAATGCTGGAGGCTCTGCGTTGACCGCAAGCAGTCTTGACAGGGGGCCTTGCAGAAGTGTGACGTGCTGTGGAATCTGTCGACAAGCCATCCCGTTGTGTACGCATTCGTGACAGTGCTAGCACAGCAGGCCAAGCTGAAAGGCAGAGTTGAGACGCAGCGGGTGCTTCAAGCTTCTCTGATGCAGCTGGCATTCACCTGCATCAGCTTCACCATCGATCGTCGGAAAAATGTGAGGCAGAGAAGGAGGCCGTCGAGGCGGCGCAAAGCAAGCTTGGTGCAGTTCATAAGCGCCCGAAACTGCGCTTCCGCGTCGCTCGAGGAGCAGCTGCGAATTGCCGCAAAGCAGCTTGAGGCCGGAGATGGAAGACGTGCAACAGTGCAAAGCCAATGTGCTGACTACGAGCCCAGGCCTTGCTCGCGGACGAATCCAAAGAGACGGATCTCCTGTGCGGCACTGAGTACTATCGCTTGGGGCTGCTTGTCCCACAATCCGTATCAACACCTGAAGGCAGTGCAAAAACTCATGCACGAGTTGTACAGAATGGTCGGGCATGCCGAACTGACTGCCAAACATAATCTTTCGGATGATGTCTTTCAAGTTTGACAGCTCCGCAAAATGAGACCATGAGCACTGCTACGGGGCCGCTTAATGTGAACTGAACTCGTTTCTCGCCCTGCCGACAAACAAGCATCGTGACAGTAGCATAGCAGCAGTGTTGCAGCTGGTGGGCAGATCTATACCAGCAGTTCGAATGGTTCACTCCAGAAGAGTTCTCTTCGGCTCGTGCAAGCTCAGGTATCATGCAATGTCACGCGCTTCTACGCTTTAGGGGTTTCCTCGCAAGCTAGTTTGCCGACAACTGTTTGAATACAGGGCACGTTTCTTTCTTCCTCTCATGGCAAGGCGGGACCTCACTGGCCTGCCCTGGCCTAAGCTGCACCATCAGAGCTGGTCAGGCGGCCAGGCTGTGGCCACCGGGCTGAGCTTCAGCCGAAGCTCCATAAGAAGCAATGTGCCACCTATATTTGCAAAAGGCCGCTTAGCCAATGTTGCTTGGATCGTCAAGGTCCAAGCAGTTTGACCAGTTGCATGCCAAGCATCGTGCGCAGCTGATCAGCGCAGCTCCTTGGTTGCCTAGCAACAGCCCCTCAAGCCACCTGCGTGGGAGTTCTACAGATACAGCAACCTGATATAAATGGAGCATGCCAGGAGGCAGGCCGAAACCAAGACTATCGCAGCCAGCGCTTTGTGTTGAGTTTCATTGTGTTTTCCAGTTTACAGCTAGCGAGCGTCTGGAACACAAGCAGATTGCAATGCAAACTCACTTGCGAAGTGCATCATTGGTCACGCCATGACCGTGGTTATCACCTGCGTCGCTGCCATGGTCATGAACATGATCGTCAGCCTCATCATCATGGTGGTTTGTGATTGGTTGAGTCAGTATAGACAGTATAGACACCATCCTGGTCACGAGCAAAAACCATCATTACCATCGTCGTTTCGGCAACGAGTCCGTAGGGTCGTGGCACTCAAAGTGCAGATACGTGCAGATTGCACAGAACTTGATACGCCAGACCCCAGACTCTAAACTTCGATACAATTCACCATAGTCTCACGATGTTTTTTGAGATTAGCCATTACCGTCCGAAATTTAGGATTCCGTTGAATCTGCACTGTTCTATGCTGCGCTGCCTTACCTAATATTTGCGATTACAGCTTGTGTCAGTTACGATAACTCTGGGCTGTGACACCCTTCGTCCCGGCTCCCGTGGCTGAAAGGCAGAGCAGGCCCAGCTCCTCCAAACCGAGCAGGCCGGTTTCGGATTCAGGGCTTGAGGGTGGGGCATTGCCTCAGTCACACTGCTGCGGCATGCGGCGGAAAGCCATCAAGGACGGTACACCTTGTCAGTACGATCAGTTTAAGCCAGAGTCTGCTTGTAATGAAAAGTGTACGTTGCGCTGCTCCGAAATCGAGTCGCAGCATCTTTCGAGGTCTCAAGCGACTACAAGTCAAAATGTAGGGAGACTTAGGCTGTGTTCGTTATCGTCCATCTAACCGAGAAGCTCAGGAGGCATGTTTTGCAAGCTTCGGCTTGGGACTTGGAGCAAGCACGGGTTAACGCGAGATGACCAAGGCCATGCGCAAGGAGCTCGAGGCCAAGTTCTGTGCTGCCCAGGCCAGGCCCTCACCGGAGAGTACTCCACGTCTGCTACTGCAGTTGCGGTCAGCGCAGCGTCCCAGGCATCTTGGCAAGCCAAAGAGGGCGAGGCTTCCCTCTTGTGCATCCTCGTGCGGATCTGCAGCGAATGTGATGCAAGACGGCAGTGGCAATTCGTAGGCAACGGCTTCCATCGGGGAAGTGATAGTCCGTATAGGAGCTTCAAATCGCCACAGGCCGTTGCCTGGCAAAAGCACTCTGAGGTTCTAGACAAGGACCGCAAGCCGAGAGAACCCTTTTCTGCATTTGCCAGGTGGGGACCAAAGTAGCAAGACACTTCCAGCATCACAGCTAGCCGGAATGAAGATGAAAGGCGGTGCGTGCGAATGCCTACCTTGCCTACCGAAACTCACAGCTTGCTTGCCACGAGACCGAATTTGGACGTAAAGTACTTGATTTCCAAACCTACCAAGACAGAAGCTGTTGCCTCGCCTGTATTCGCAACAGGACCTCGGTGCCTTGCGTGCAGACAAGGCCGTGTGAATGGTACGACATGAAGGTTTGCATGTCAGGAGTTGATCGGCCCATATTGGCACAGACCGACGTCGACACCTTTCCAGTGGCACCTGTGGGTCAGGCTGCGAGCGATGCTCAAGTGGAGCGCCTGAGCGCTGCCCAAGGACTCTCAATCCACGGGCAAGAACCGTCCATTGATGTAAGCGGCTTGCTGTGGCGATTCTTCATGGCGGAAGGAGAAAGCCTGCGGCTGGTCGAGGAGAGTTGGCAAGACCGGATGCGCTTGTGTGAAACCCTGGCCCTGGCAGCAGCAGTCTGAATGTGGTGGAACTCGTCTCTGCCTGCTTTGCTGCATTTGTCACGTGGCTTGGCAAACTGTTGACGGCTCATGCTAACGGGGGCCCCCCCGATGGGATTCGGGGTCGGTACTGTCGGTGCCGGAGGGTCCTCGAAGTCAGAGACTTCGCAGGAGCTGCAGAAGGAGATGAAGCGTCTGCGAGAAGAGCTCCAGGAGGCGGCAGACTTCAGCCGGCACTGCACAGACTTTGCACAGAGATTCCTTGACTGAGGTGCAGAAGAACGAGCCACTGGAGCTGCTCCTTCGGTTGAAGCGGCTGGAGGACCAGTTGACGCTGCAGAGGGCCCTCATCCGTCGCGGTCTGTAGCGGGTTTGGAAGGAGGAGCTCCAGGAGTCAGAGACGGCCAGGTGCTTCCTTGGACAAGAAAAAGCCTACGTAATGCCATGAGCTGCCCAGTCCAAGTTTTCTCAAGCTGAGTCAAGCAGTTCATCCGGTACTCCCATCGCAAGTTCCCCGACAGGCGCCACTTGGAGCGTGAGCGCAAGCGACGGCCAGGCAGTCGTCGCCCGGCTTGCGAATTAGGCACCGCCACGTGCCAAAGCGAAGATGCAGCACAGCCTATCGCAGCCGGTTGCATCTTCTACACGTACCCAAATCGCTGAAAATGGTGATAGACTATGACTATGCGGCCTGGTACCGAAGGCATATCTATACAGGCAGTCGCAACTGCTTCATGGGTCTGAACCAAGGCAGTGCAGGCTTCTCTGCAGTTCTGGAGGCTTGCTGCTCTTGTGCTCTTGTTGTGCTGCAAGGAAACTCTGTGCGTGGCCTAGTCAGCATGGTCATGCTAGCGCTACTTCAACGAAGGACGATGAGAACCAGCCACCACCGACAAAGCCCGAAGCTGGACCTGTCGCAAATGCAGGCAAGTTGTTCCCTAGCATCCAGCTGTTCAGCGAGTAGAGCTGGGAGGCTCTAGAGAGTACTGTACTGTGAGCCAGGATGTCTTCGTTGCCTGACTCGGAGCATAAGCGGAGCCCGTCTAGCAAGTTGCTTTCGTCGGTCAGTATTGCATCGCCTGGCTCGGAAAGTGCCTCTGCTTGTCCAGATTGCAGTCAAGTCCGACGATTTGAAGAGCTCTGCGCGGAGGCAAGACCAGCGTCATTTCTACGTTGGACGAAATCCAGGAGCATGCTGTTGCACGATTTCGGTGAAAGCGCGCAGTGGATGTTCCCATCAACGAGCATACCAGCCTGCGAGTAGTCTCGCACAGTTGTGAGGATGCGGAAGTCAGAGGCAACTTCCGCAGTTGACATCCGCGCTCCCGACCAGGAGAGGCTTGCAGCCCGGGAGAAGGCCTTGCACGAGGCCAAGATCTCGCTCAAGGTGCGCTGCTGTGCGAAATTACGCAGTCGCGCTTGACTCCTACAGCAGCGCAGAGGATCCCAGCACGAATGCTCCCAGCGAGCCTCAAGCAGCGACCAAGGACTGCGTCTCCGCGCAGTTGTTTCCCGTTGGCCGTTGGCGTGCTCTGGCTCTTGCCTTGAGCTCCCCTGACAGGGCCAGCAGGGCCAGCCGTCCTTGGCCGAGTTGGAGCGCGACTTCGGAGCGTCCGCAGCTGTGGAAGGGCGACACCTGGCCTGTGCCACAGAGCATGGAGTGCTGCAGATACTATGCCAAGGTATGCTCGATCGGTCGGCTTCAAAGGCGACGTCAACCAGCTTTGGGAAGAGGCATTGTCACTCGCTGTTCGGAGTGCTTTTTGAGATCGTTTAGAGATTTTGAAGCCTCGAGGCTCAGGCGGTGGCAGCAGCCACGTCACTAGGCCAAGAGGCTCGTTCTTGCTGGCTGTTCTGCGAGTTCTGCATGCTCACACTCTGCTGTACCAAAAGAGCAGGCACCGTCCTATGCATACACTCTCTTTTGCGCTGCAACGGGCAACAGAGCGGTTAGCCGAAGGTGTTGGTCGTTTAAAGTCGAACCAGCCTTTGTCGGGGCGGTTCGCTCCCTTCGGGCATTGGAAAAGCCTCTGCCGCCTTATCTAGTTTATGCAGCGAGTGTATGCAGGAGTTCGGTTCCTTAGAAGACAGGGGAAAAAGGGGGGGCAGCACGAAAACCCGACTGTTTCCGGACCCATCCGTCATTTGCCTCAACTCACAAAACGACTTGCAAAAGAGATAGGGCGGAACGCCAGACCGCCACTGTACATCGGAGCTTTCAGCTCCTATTCCGGCGGAACGCCTGTTTACAGGACTTACTCCCGAAAGCTCCTCAAGAGCTTTAGAGGTGGAAACCATCCACAGCGGAACGCCGTGCTGAATCATCAGCGGGCAAGTCGTTCCCAGCTGGGGCGGTATCACCTGCAGCTTCACCTCCCTCAGACGTTGCAGAAGGGGCCGAAGGGTGAGCTCCCGGCTGATCGTGGCCATGATCCGGATGCACTGGCCGCCCTGCTGCTTGATCTTCTGCGGGATCAGGCCGATGCGGGGGAAGTTCTGGCCGCCCGTCCGCGGTTGTACCCGATGGTGCAGAGGAGGTCCCCGTCGAGGTGCTCGATGTAGGGCGAGGGAGGCGGTACGCCTGAAGGGGGCGGAGCGCCTGCAGATTTGGAAGCCGTTGTAGGTTCGGCTCTTTCCGCATCCGCATTGACTCTCGCCTCCAAGTAGTCCAGGAATTGCTCCATGGTATAGCAATTCCCCACCTCGTCTTGGGTCCATGTGACACCTTGCCTTTCCAACCTCTCCAGCCTGTTGAGGAGGTACAGGCGGTGAGAGCGGCCCAGGCTCATCATGGGCGGTAGCGCCCTCACAGTTTGCAAGGGGGTAGATCTGGGCTGTAGCGCCACGCTGCCCTGGGCCACCTGATGTTGCACTGCACGTAGCCGAGAGCGATGGCGTTGGAAGGCTACCGCAATGGAGACCCCTGCGTCCAAGTCTTCCATGTACTTGGGGTCGTTCCGAGCGGTTTCGTTGGAGGCTCTCACCTTGACGTTGCTGGAACCTCCTTTGCCTTTCTGGCCTCGCAGCTGGGCGGTGCGCCTGATGGTGTCGGCCAACAGACCTCCCATCACCGCACTTGAGCTGTTCGCGAGGTTCTCCAGGAGTGCCCGCTGTTGGCCGGCGTTAAGGCCTCTCATCCTTTGCTCCAGTTCCGCGCACTCACGTTCAAGACGAGCGACCTCCTCAAGCTCTTCTTCGTGGAGGGCCACGTCGTCCTCTTCCTCCTCCTCGTCGGACACCACACATTCCTCCTTGGGCCGGCTGCACATGGTGCAAACTGTACGAGTGATCGGCACACCGTAAGAGCACCTTTTGCAGTACCAGTGACCAGTGAGTGGCCCTCTTGAAGGTATTCCCCATGCCTTTGCCAATCGAGGTTGAGCTTGGGGCGGAACCACCCTTAGCCTTCCCTTCGTCTGCAGGCGGTGCGCCCTCATCTGGCGGAACAGCCGGTTCGTCACCCAGGATCTGCATAGCCCAACGCCCCATTACATTCTGGGCTCGGTCGGCTTCCGCATAGGATTCTGCAAGAGGAAGCTGACGAATTGGAGCCGCGTAGATGCAGGGAAGGGCGGTGCGACCCGGTCGCGGTGGCCCTTCGTTACTCCTGTAGTGCTGCCCAAGGCTGGGGTTCCGCAAGAAATCCTGGAAAGTAAAGAGAGGCCGATGGTCTCCCGTGGCTGGGCTGAGGGGCGGTAGATCACCTTGAGGTTCCGGATGTGCCTCCTGCAGGTCCATGAAACACGGGTTACCACTGTTGGCCATTTGCATCCTGCATGCCCAGTGAAGAATGTCTTGAGCAACACGCCGGATAAAAATAACTCCCACACGGCTCCATGACTGCAGCCCGCACAGGGTCCTGCGACACATAACGACGTGCTGGAAGATGGTCCAAGGTAGGACCAGCCGGGGAGTTGTTTCATCCAGGTCTCTCACCGTGAACCACAAGGCCTCCCCATTTGGTGCCACAATCGCCATGGGGCGACTCTCCTCTGTAGGGCCTCTGGCTTTCTTTGGAGCTAGGCCTCCAGACGTAGGGGGCGGTGCGCCAACGTTCGCGAAGTCCCCCGGGGCGTAGCTCTTCGGGGTGGCCGGGGTGTGGGGCAACGGTCCCTCGGGCGGAGCGCCCATGCCTTTGCCCTTTCCGAGGCCCTTTTTGGCGAAATACACCGACTTCGGCTCCGGCATCGGCATGGGTGGTGGTGGCTGCGGTGTGGCTGCAGCGGCAGGGGGCGGTGGCGCCTGAGGTTCACCGTCCCTGCTTTTGCGGAGGCTTTCCCACTGTGAGCCTCTTGGGCCTGGGCCCCCGTCGACAGTGTCCCGACGGTTGAGCACAACAGGGGCTGTGGACGCCCTCGGGTGCACCAGCAGGTCATCCGGAGTGGGGCCATTGTTGATGAGCTCTCCGTGCCTCGGTCGCCAACACCCGCATCCCGCACACTGGTTAGCCTTGACAGATACTTCTTCTTGACAGTCAGGGCAGATCCAATGTGTAGCCCTCTCCTGGACATTGCCCACAGCATGCTGCGAGCGGCCACACCCATTGCAGCCATACCGGTGGAGGCCATTCGGTTCTCCACAGCCTCCGCAAATCCACCGCATTGTGTTGTTGAAGGTGGAGGGCGGTGGCGCCTTGGTCGGGATCTTCTCCTTTGGAGGCGCCTTTGGCGGGGGGGCTTCCGACGCGGGAGCCATGGGATGGCTTTGGGGCTGGAGCAGCCTTCTTGGGTGGGGGCGCAGAGGATGGGCTGCTAGGGCGTGCTTTCGGTGGTGCCTTGTAAGCTGGCCGGGGAATGCAGCACACCGAGCAGTAGTTCTCCGACACTGGAAAAATACAGCCACATCTGCTGCAGTTCCATAGGCCGCGATCTCCTCCAAAAAAAAAATGTGCTGCATCCGGACCAGGGCCACTCGAGCTCGGGGGCGGAGGAGGCGGTGCCTTCTTAGTCCGTGCCCATGGGTTGGCTCGGGGCGGAGCGCCCGTTGATGAGGAACCAGGTTCATGCCCTGAAGGAGCTTCTCCTGTTCCCCCACATCCACTGGCCTGAGGTCCGCGCGGAGGTTCTCCATCACCAGTAGGCCCTTTGCCTCCAGAAGAGTCCCCGGGCGGTGGTCACCATACGGGCCTTTTGAGGAGCCCTTCTGCTGCCGAGGGTGGCCCTTTGTGTTCGCTAGGTCGGCGTTCAACGCCGGTGCTGCCTCACCCAGCCGCATCTCATGCACCAGGCATCTCCCCAGTACTGGTGGTGCCCACACTGACGGCAGAACCTCAAGACACGCCCGCAGCGGATGCGCGGGTACCTGTCGATCTCCGGGCCAGAAGACTCGGTGTCCGGGCCCGCACTGGAAAACTCCTCGCTGCTGGTGTCGTAGAAGGGGGTACCCCATCGGCCTCTGCTCTTGCCCTTCGCTGTGCCGCGTGCCGAGGTGCTCGGGCCGGGTCCACGTCCAGGTGGCGGTGGCGCCTTACCAGCGCTCTTGCTCGAAGGAGGTGGTGCCGAGGAACTCGGGAGGATATTGTCATGAAGAATCCGTAGGCTTGGGTTGAGGAGGCATTCCCCAGGGCCTGCATGCGCACAGTGGCCATTTCGACCTCGTCCGGTGGGCTTTTATCCGGATGTAGGCGGATCGCCGTGCGCTTGTCGGCGCGGAGGACCTCACTCATGGCACTGCCTGGGGCGAGGCCGAGGAAATCCCACGCACTGCCCCATTCCTGTATCCACTCGGGAAGTTGGCGGTTCCCCATCCCGGTCGGCGGAGCAGCCTCAGCCATGATGTGAGTGGAGGGAGAGGCGGTGCGCCGGGGCGAGCGGAACGCTTGTTGGAGCAAAGAAAGCAGCTCCGGAGACATACGTGAGCCAGGTCTCTGAGGATTTATCGGCAGCTGGTCACTAGACGAAGCAGCAGACTGCGCACTCACAGAGGTCCTATTAGGGCAGGCTTCAGGCGGGAGGAGCCATTCGGGGGTACCTCCGAACCGAAACAGAAACGAAGGGGGATCAACAATCCCACCAGCCTCAAGTTGCCTGCGAAGTCTGACCCTCTGAATTCTGAATGAAAGTGAGCCCAGTGGTCCTTTCAAGATGCTCAAGATGCGCTTGGCTCGCTTCCCAGTCAACGTCGAAACCCTCAGAGGAGCCTCCAGCATCGCTATCAGTGTCGCTACCTTCACTAAATGGGCCTCCGGCTCTTGTCCCTGAAGCGGCACAGCCGCTAGGGTGTGAGTATTGCTGTGGTTGGAGCACAGGGGGGGACGCCAGCATGTCTTTAGAGCGGCTAGGGGCAGCGGCAAGGTCAGTACACAAGTAGGCATGGATAGCATCGGACTTCCAACCTCCAAACCTCTTAACTACCTCCACGTCATTGGTCACGGCAAGCATGGCGGTGGCGCCTCCTTTTCGCAGGCTGTGCGAGGCAACGAGGTGAGCTGGGTATCCCAGTGCCACAGCTGCTAACCTCAACAGGTCAGAGAGGCTTTCACGCGAGATCCCTATCCCTTGCCAGGCGCAGACAGGAAGGCTAACATCATTCACCCAGAAGGGGTTGTGTTTAGCAGTAAAGCCCTAACAGGACAGATCTCTTCTCCAGTAGCATGCTGAAGTCTGACCTGCCCTCTTCCGAACTGGTCACCTTTAGAATCCCTCAGCTGAACGGCAACAGAATCAGCCTCAAACACAGAACAGCGCCGCCCTTTACAAAAGAAGTCAATGTCGCTGCCACGCAGAACCCGAGTGGGCACGTTGCAAAGGTCGGACCCTGGGAGATACTCCGAGGCTCGCAGCATGAAGAACCAGCCTAGGCAAATTGACGTCCAAAGGGCTTTCCGTTCGGCAAGGGGGCGGTCCGACCCGTCAAGGTACCGTTTCAACCAAGTAAGCATGCCAGGAGTCACGGGCACTTTGCGAACTGGTGCTCCGTCCCAGCGATTCATTCCAGCAAGAGCGGCCCAAAGTCGGACTCGGCCTGCGAGGGGGTCTTGATAGCCTGCCGCTATGTGTGCGTACCGGATCCCAGATAGCCATTGCTTAATGCCACGTCCCATCACTTGGTGCAGGAAGACCGTGAAGCGGATCAGCCAGTCCTCGTCTTTTTGCTTCTCCACTCGCGATTCGCCTTGCAAGAAGGGAGAGACACCTGTGCCAGACATAAAAGACGCCCACTGCTTCCAGCCCGTGTTATACGAGCGCCTGGTTGAATCAGCGAGTTTACTCAGCACGGCTTCTTGGCCTACTTGGTCCAAGAAAGAGACTCCGCTGCCCAGAGGCAACCCGTGAGTTCCAAAGAACTTCTCCCTTTCATCCCCAAGCAGGACTGGGGTAACCAGAGAGCGCTGGGCCGGATCGGCCTTCCTCTTGACAGGCCCCCCCACTCGCGTGTCTTCCGACTGGTTCCAAGCAGTCGGCTCCACTCCGGGCGGTAACGACCCAAATGGAACGAGGTCCAAGAGATCGCGGGGGCAATCAGGACAGCGGCTCCAGGCGGTTAGCCATACCTCCAGCTGGGCCTTGGCATCTTCCTCGTCAGGATCCAAGCAGTTCGGCGCAGGGCCTTCTCGGACCCCTCCGACCTGAGAAGGGCAGTCCACTCTTGGAAGGTGACTCCTTGCGCGCGAGCGATTTCACCAGGACTCAAAGGACGAACCCCCCCCTGGCTTGCTGGGAATCAGGTGGCTCCTGGACCCTTTAAGTCCCGCGTTGGGCCTAAGAAGGCGCAGGCTGGGCCTGAAGTGTGATGCACCAAACATTTGGGCGGGAAGCCGGGGCCCTTAACGTAGGGTGAGGGAGCCACGGGTCGCCAGTCGTAATAATACTGGGCTCCTGGGTCACAACCCCTCCCAAATGCACGGCAGCGGCCTGGGCCTCGGGGTCCAAAGGAATGGGCTGCATCGCAGGAGGGGGGTGAACTCGGTGTTGCTCAATCCCTTCCGGGGGCGGTAACACCTGGTCAGCCCAACCCAGAAGGAGCTTTCTCCTCCTGGCACTAAAGGCGCCCGGATGAGAGCTGACGTACGAGATCAACCTAAGATGTGGGAGGATCTCCCGTATGCCCGACTCCAGCTGAGAAGTGTCCATCTGCCTTGGGCAGTCGACCACTAGTTTGCCGAGGCGATTCTGGCTTGCTTTCAATTGAGCCCAGAAGCGGGCTCTCTCTTTGCCTTGAGGGTCCTGAGAGAAAGTGAACAAGGCATTGCCGTGACTCCCCTTTTCCCAGGCACGAAAAAGCCGGAGAGCGATGGCGCAGCTGGTGAGCTCCTGGAAATCGTCCACGTGCCAGACCTCCCAGGCCTCACGAAGGCACACATGCTTCAGCGAGGGTTGTGGGGAATCAGGGATGTGGGTGAGCTGGCGGGCCTTTTGCGCACTTGGGTCGAAACCAAGGGGTAAAACCGGAACGCTTTGCGTCCTGGAGGAACTCCTCCCAGTGGATTTTCCCTGGAGTCTCTTCCCAACCGTCGGCCATAAGCTGCTCCCGAACCACTCCCAAGTCTTCCCGACTCAACCAATCCGCAAGTTGATTTCGATAGGTGCGGATGTAAATGGGATGGACAGTGAAATTGTGCTCACACTCCAAGCGCTGGACAAGCCTAATGAGCAGGCTGGCAACCCTATTACCTGCTCGACGCTTGTAGAGCCAACTCCGAACATTGGAGTTATCTGTGACATACAGAACAATCTCCCCATCCCAGTTTTGCTTTCGGTGACAGGCAAGGACCACGAAAGCGAGCAATTCCATGATGGAGATAATGTCGGCCTCGTCCTCCGCCGAGGCTACCGCTCGCAATGCGTCCTGAAACTTGTCCACCGTGGATGCATGAAAGACCTTGGCCTCCCAATCAACTGCCCCAATCCTGTCAAGAGTAGCGTCACCTCCTGTGATCCGCGTTCGGGCGGTAGCACCTGGGAGGGCGAGCCTCTCGCGGATAGGCAGTAGTTTTTCGAACACCGATGCGAAGCTAGACTGCAACGGGGCCTCCAGTTGGAGCCGAATGAAATCCAGAGCGTCCCAGAAGTTTTCCCATCTGAGGGACTCCTCTTGAGGATCACTAGCCTCGACCCTGAGAAGGGTTTGAGCCTTTCCTTTGACTTCCTTTCTACCTTGGCCTTGAAGGTTGCCTTTAAGGAGGCAACACAAGGACGGGAGATGCGGGGTAAGAGCCGGGCAAGCAACTGTCCAGTATTGGGCGCACCCGATGACCTCCTGAAGCAGGCCCAGTGGGACCTCCTTACACCCTCTTTGTAAGGCCGGCTCCCCCAGCAGGTACTTGGCTTTCATTCTCTTGGGCTCTGGAAGCCTCACCTGATGTTGTGTGGAGTCCCCATAGCAGTTGGGTCGCCGAAGGCTCTCCTTCCTCTGCCATTTTCTCCACATTTACCCCTTCGGGGCCCCAGACCAGTTTCATGGTCTCATCGAGCACCGCCAACGAGTCGAAGACTCGAGTGCCTACCAGGGGTTCTACCACCACTCCGTCATCCATCAACCACTTCGACTCATACGGCACGACGTCGTTAAAGCGACGAGGGTCCTCAGGGCGGAGCGACCCATGGTGCGCCTTTGCTGCGGCGCTCCAAGCTACAAATTCCCCAGGGGAGCCCGGACGGCAAATTCTGGCACGTCCTGAGGGCGAAGAAAGTGCCACTTGAATGCGCGTGGCACATCGCGTTTGGCGCACCGCTGAGGGATGCCAGGGTGTCTTGCCCTCCACCACAGTGACTGCCTCGCTACTGCATGGTGTCTGGGCTGGGGGGCAGGGGGGTGGTTGTACTTTGAACCGGCCTCGTTCTGCTTTCTCATCTGTCCGGGTTCTGCTTGGGCACTCGTCCCAACGGGCTCTCGGCCACGCCTGCGACCCGAAACAGTTGTTCGACCTCTCCTTCAGTGGGGTCCACCAGCAGGGCTGCGCCGTAGGCTGCATCCTTCCATGCCTTTTGGAGGAGCTCCTCTTCGTAGCCGTACACCGATCCATGGTTCTTAGCTTCTTCCCTACGGAGAGGAGCTTCCCTACGACTCGGCACCCCATTCTCTGCGCTTTGCCGGAGGTACTCCTGATGCAGGGCGGAGACGCCTTTGAACAAGCCTCGCTTTGCACGTTCCAGGTGGTCCCCCAACTTAAGTTGCCGTCCGGGCCGAGTTCAAGGCTTCGACAGCTTCCTGTACAGTGCCAGCGGCTATCACCAACTCCGCTCCCAGCCTGCCAGCTTCCATAGCCTTATCAACCGAGAAGGGTGACTGGCAGTGCTCAAGGTATTCAACCGCTAGCTTCCTCCGCGAGTTTTGCGACCGCCCCGGCCCCCCCCAAGGAGGGTGGGAGGGGGCAGGCCCCTACAGGAAGGGGGCCAGCCACACTGTCAGCGCGGTGGTGCAACCAGCGAGCTGCCAGGTCCAGTGCCGAAGCGGCCGGCGAGACTCCAGTTGGTGGAACTCTTCCCAGGAGTTATCCGGGATACCCCACCAAACTGAACAGGCTGCCAAGTGCTGCACGAAGAGCCGCATACGGCATCCTACCAAGTGACGCAACGACCCAAAGGGCTGGGGCGGAAACACCACGCCATGACAATGTGGGGATTGCTTAAGCAGCACCCCTACTTGCGCGAGGAGAGTAGACCAGCACGGGGGCTGCGCCTCTACGAGCCAAACCAGGTACCCTGGGGACAGCAACGTCGACTGGGAGTCTATCCACGCCTGCATAGCTGAGGCGTCCGCGTCAAAAGCGGGCATACACAAGCGGTGACGATGTCGGACACAGTGACCAAGGCAGGGTGCCCATGCCCTGTTTTCGGTGTAGCAAGAGCCTCCGGTGGAGGGCGAGCTGGGTCGCCAAGGTCGTCCTCCTCGTTTCCTGGGGTCTGCGGG